TTCAATGGATGTCTTTGTTGGGGGGCCCTTTGGAGTAGTTTTCAATGGATGTCTTTGTTGGGGGCTCCTTTGGAGTAGTGTTCAATGGAAACTACAGGGAAACCATGTATTGGGACAACATGGTAGCGATGTCGACATCCAGGTTGGACCGACCATCTGTTTCACAACTGTTCTATCTAACCAAAATTGAGCCTAACATCTTACCCGTCGCAGTATCCTTCCAAGAAAACAACCATCTGAAGGGTTGCTGTTAAGGGAAGCATTCGGGGTAAAATATCCCCCCCCCCTCGGGGAGGGTTCTTTGAAACTTCTTAGAAGAATTCTGAGAACCTTTCTGGAGCTCCCTAATCACTCCTGAAGCATAAACATGACTCGCATAACAAAGGATCCCATGCATCCAGCACGACGCATTTGGGGCAAGGATTGGAGCCACAAACAAAACACGCTTGTTAGACTATGGTATTCATTTCGTAAGCCTAATTAGCATCTCTAGTCATATCAAGCGAGAACCCAGTGCTGCTTCTACCAGTGCATATAACTATTTTGTCATAGCTCTTATTATAACCGCAGAAAACCAAGCAACACCAATTGAGGAACCTGCCAGAAAAAGCTACTTGCTATTGAATGGAAAAGCTGTCTCGAAACGATTGCTACAGAGCTCTCTCTCCATGCATTCTCTCCTTGCTCTGCACTTTGTTGAAGCGAAACTTGACACGCTCAATTGCCATGAAAAAAAGGAGAGCAGTCCTGGTGGGCCTCCAACCTGTCCCAACTCCAGTTCAACGTTTGTTTGATGGAAGCTGAGTGGGCAGTAAACAAGATCCAACGGCACATCCACGGTTCGCGGACGTGACACATCAGCTCTGAATTTAGATCGAGATGCAACTCATGAAGTTGCAGACTGCGCTGTTCTACAAACCAATCACGGAACCCAACAAGAGGATCCTCCCTACAAACCAATCACGGAACCCAACAAGAGGCTTCCAACACTGGAAAACCCACGCAACTGCAATCACATCACAAAGGCTTGGTGCAAGAAGGGGGGGTGTCAACAACCCAACCCAACTACTCGCGCGGATGGCTGAAAAAAGCTCAAGCTGCTAAACGAATGTGGGTTCCGGATCAAACGAAGACGACATATTCAGCTTGTCTCCAGGGAACCCCTAAAATGAGCACTTGTGGTGATTTGACCAATCCCTGCTCGCGTGCTCACCAAGAGCCAGCCATTTCAGGGGTTCAATCAACTTGCTGGCTCGTAGATGGACATCACGTTGGGAATGAACCGAGGGATGCCCTCAAAGGCTCACTGCCTGAGTGGATTGGCCCCAAAAAAAAAGGTAAAAGGTAACTCCACACGGGTTGTTTTCCAATAAAATGGTCCAAACCCAAAAAGTTTAAAGTCCAGCAACTCAGGGAATGAGAAGGAGACCAGTTGGACGGTTCAATGGTTGCTTCCCTCGGAGCACCAGCACGAGTTGGGTTTTTGACACGAAGCCGGTCTCTCAGCTCGGGCCCCCGGCGTGATATGAAGGGCTCACCTGACACGTCTGTCCCGAGGCTCAGGGGGCGAAGCTCGGGTCAAAAACCGGTACCTAGAGTCTCCATGACCCTTTAAAAATGGGGTCATTACCCAAAATAATGGGGTCATGGACCCATTCTTAAAGGGTCATGGAGACTCCAGGTACCTAGATGGGTTTCCCTGGTAGATGATTCAACCACCAGGCGCACCAGGAATCGAAACCCATCTATTCTTCGACCAAAACAACCAACTAGGACACCTATGGATGGGCCTAGAGTCTCCTTCTGCCCCCTAGAAAATGGGCCCATGTGACCCATTCATTTTAGGCAACCTACCATCTTTTAAGGGTCAGAAGGAGAGTCTAGGTACCCAAAATGGAAGCCTACAGTGCTTTTCACATGGAACCCGACTTTTTTTCTGGGGGGGGGTCCTGGCTTGGACCATGTTCCTTTTCAAGGGACTTCCCACGCCCCGGCCCGTTCCACGTGCAAAGGACGAAAACCCTTTCGGCCCAAACCTGCGGGCCCAGGTTTGATCTTGATGCCGCTCGAGCAAGCCGAAGCCGAAGCAAAAGCAGAGAACGCTGCCAGGTTTGAAGGATTCCACAAGGGCCTGAGCTGTGTCTTCAAATTCGGAAAGGAGAGACAGAGATTTTAATGGAGAAAAGCAGATGATATTTGTGTGATTCCTCTCTTCGCTCGGATGTTTTTTCTGAAATTGTAAGAAGATGTAAGAATATGCTGCTTGGGAATGTTGAATAGGAAATGGACACTCACACAACTGGCTGGCTTCTTGTTAGCTTCCCCCTGAATCACAATTCAATAGGGGCCTAAAGTTTGGGAGCTTACTGCCAGTACGCTTTTGGTGACCAAAAATTGGGGGCAAAGCGAGCTCTGAGCTCTTGCAACCCTTTTGCGGAATGTCTTGATACGGCGACTGTTGGTTTGGTGTCTCAGTGTTGAGCCTTGAACAATCATTCGTGAAAACTCGAATCAATGAACAAATACACATGCGGGGGCAGTGAACCCCAATGGTTGTCAGTCCCAATACTGGAGTCATGTGGGGGGCCAAAGAGACAGCAGGCCGCACTCTAATATGAATCAGCCGCTTGTGGTGGGAGGGGGGTGGTGGCAATTGTAGGATGAATCCAGGCGGTCAATAGTGTGTCACTTGACTAAAAAGGACCTAAAAACAACAAAGACCTTCTGCAACAGTAGGACCAAGAAGGGCAAACCAAATGGTGAGGTGCTCCAACAGATGACATGAACGTCCGACAGCCCTCCGGCTTGAGGGTAACCATGTCCTAACTGAACTCCTGCGTTCGCTCTCCCCAGCTCCTTGGCCCCCTTCCGACCAGCTATATAGTCAACCTTACTTTCTCACATGGGTGTAGCTCAAAAATCGTGGTCGACAATGGAACCCTGGTAAATGGAAAAGCAGACTGAAACCTGCGTAACTGCAGCTGGTTGCTTTGGAGCCACACCCACATATTGGGGTTGCTTTCTGTTCCACTGCTAAAAGTGACTAACTTTTAGTGTTTTAATGGAAAACCAATTTGTTAGCAAAAGGTTAAAGTCCCAACATCCAAGCAACATGCACCAAAGAAAAAAAAGACAAGCGAACCCTGACGGTCCAAGTACCTCAGGCATTTGATCAGCGCCTGTTTTTGGATTTAATCCGACTTCGTTGCAATGCCAATCCTGAAAAAACCCACAAAGCAACGTGACACAACAGGGATCCTTACAGTACACACCTGAACATTGCCTTGTAAATGGTGCTTTCCCTTTACTCTGGTGGAAAAAGCCATGTTTCACATGGGCAACATGCATCTTTTTAAGGAGCCCTGTTCAATCCCCTCCCTTCCCCCCCCAAAAAGAAGAAGAAGAAGAAGAAGAAGAAGAAGAGGAAAACACATCCCCTCCCTTCCCCCCCCCAAAAAAAAAGAAGAGGAAAGCACTCACCCCGACGGTCGCATCCATTCGCAGCCCGCCTGTGCGACCGTGTTCGCCAGGCTGAGAATTTGGAAGAACACAAGTCTACCGTCCCGTTTGGGCTGATGCCAGCGGACAGACGACAGCTCACTAGTCAGTGCTTAGCAAGTGGATAGTAACCTTTAAAACCCACTTAGGAGACTTAATTAATTATAACTCTTGGCTGGAATTAGGACCCTAGACAAACTCTATTTGTTGTCGGGTTCGTGGAAAACAAAGGGGACCCCCAAAAAGCACAAAATCAGAAAGGGGAGCTAATTCCAGGGAAGAACCATGGTAAGTGGGTATTTCCCACTTCTCTGACGTTCTCGATCGCCCACTTATCTGTATGTAACACAAAGTAGCTGGAGTCGAGACCTCCAGGTTCCCTTTCTGACCTTTTCGCGGGTCCCATGACATGGCATTTTGATCGAATGACTAAAAACCGCTGCAAGGTATGGATACGTCTTTAAGGAGTAACCGCTGCTTTTGAACATCCAAAATAAATTGGTGGCTTGCCTTTGTGTGGGTTCACCTTTTGAACGGGACTTAAACGCCCAACACTCAGTGGCCATAAAAAGAGGGTCATTTCTTTTCGTGGTAGTTGACAGTAAAGGGAAACCCCTCCGAGCATAAAGATGAAGAAAGGTCAGCACTCGTCTGGGAAAGAGTTCTCAAGGTAAAGAGTTCCGGGCGCGATCCAAGGCAGCTTTCTCAAGGTCTAAGGCCCACGAAGGTTAACTTTGGATTCATCCGGGTCCTACTAGTCCGAGCTCACCTATATTGAACATATAATGTTGACCCGTATCAAATTAATCAACCCAGTTTGTTAATAGGGGGTGTCCCTGGGTTTAGTGGGGATTCATCACTTTGGGAGTGGGGTTGATCAATATGGGGTCAACATTACTAACAGGAAGGAGAACTGCCCCTGAGCGCAGTAATCTGAAAATAACATCAATCCAGAAAAGGGACGTAGCGTGGACCCTTGAAGTTGCGCCTGAAGCGAAAACCGAACGGAAACCGAAGCGTTCGGGTGGCCCTCGTTTGAAGACAGACCCATCCGAGAGGATCCCTGCATTGGATTCGGGTACTTTGGCCCCTACCCCCCCCCCCCCCACACACTCAATTAGGCTGCGCTTGGATCAGGCCTCCCTTTACATTTGCCCTTTAAACATCACGCCGACGTTTCGGAAACTCAGTTCAATTTAGCCCCTAGTTGATGATGTTTAAGGGAAACAAACACCTGCCAGGGATATCAAAGGGACAAGTCAAGAAGACACCTACCTAGACTCTCCATGACCCTTCAAAAATGGGGTCATGACCCCTTTCTTTGGGGTAATGCTCCCATTTTTAAAGGGTCATGGAGAGTCTAGGTACTAGGATACTTGTTTCCCTTAACTAACACCACCCTTTGAGGGAAAAAAAATCAAGGGCCTTCTAAGGAAATCAAGGGAACACTGTGGATCCGCATCACAGGATCGGATCCCCGGTCTCTCTGCACATGTTTTGTTCTCCCGCTCAGCCGAACAGCCGCCGCAGCGCGTCGGCCTGCCTAGGACGGTCGCTGGGGGTGGTTCTAGTGCTTGTGTCTTGCAGTGAGGTGGGCGTTTTTGGGATGGTCCAAACAAGAACTAAGAAGGAAAGCAGAAACTTTTGGGGGTCGAATTGAAGACAACCTAACCACCGGGGTGTTTGGGTGATTGTTGGAGTTAAGAAATATAACCCTCTGGTTCCAGTTGTAGACAGCGACCGTACCAAGTCTCGTACTTCCTGGGATGCTTGGCTTCGGATTGGCAAAGCCCAAGGGATTTTTTGGCTCAGGGCAAGGGAAAGAATGGGGAGTTCACTGGCCTTTCCCTGTACAGAAGATAACCAAAAGAACCACCGTCAAAATCTTTAAAAGCCAAAAGGACAATTGATCTATGGGTTGCCAATAGGCGAAACGCCTCTATCCGGGCTATAGAAGTTTGAAGTAACAAGGGCCTCATGGGCTTCCTCTCCGCTGGCACAAACAAGCAGCCCCCCTAAGCTCTTGAAAAGGGGAGGCTGTTGGCAGAGGCAAACCCTCCGTCCGGTTTAATGGACCCCGACCCAAAGACCCCAAGGGTTTGGGGCTCTGACAAACGCAGGCACGCACAAAGCTGAGCCTACTCTGGGTCCACACCTGGGGCACAGAGAAAAAACATGCTCTAACTCATCCTCTTCGCACCAGTTGAATGGGTATTCACAGGGGTGTGTCCCAAACTTCTCAAACTAGGGACACCTCCATGGGTACCAGATCTCTTTTTGGATCTCTTGTTAAGCAACCCACACACAAAAAACCAAAAACAACTTGGCAAGCTGCAAAGACCAAAACGCAGCTTGCCTCCAATTGGTGGTTTGGATGGGTGATGGGTTCAGGAAACGTCTTCCTTGTTACCCTCGACAAAAGCCCGGGACAACCAGCACTCCCAACCACCAACCTGGGCTACCGATCGAACAGGGATCCGGATGCATACACCGATCGAACATTGCAACTTGGAAATGGTGGGTTTCCAACTTTATTTTGGTGTTGAAAAAGCAACATGCTTCAAATGGTTGCAACAAATTTGGTGTTGAAAAAGCAACATGTAACTCAAATGGTGGCAACATGGAAATCTTTTAAGGAGCCCTGCTGAAACGGTGGCACGCAACCGGAAAAGAAAGGCCCAGGGGACTCCGACAGTTGGGATGCGAAATCCAGACATCGCACCACATCTTTCAGAGTCCTTTTCCCCAACGTCACCCACAAACCATGGATTCAACCATGGCTTCACAGTGGCCCGAACTAGATTTCGCAACCATGCTTTTTAGAGCCGGGGACAATGAACAATATTCTTAAGCAAATGGAAGCAGGTGAGAGGGGCCCCAAGCAACCTTCATTTTGGTAAAGGCCCTTGGAAAAAATAGAAATACTTCCAGTTGTGATAGATTCCCTTTGAAACCAGCAGGGTTGAAAAATATTATTATTTTCAGCAAATGGAAGCTCACTCGCGAGGTCTCAAGAGACAGCCATAGGACTCCATGGAAGCAAGCACATATTTCCTGTAGTGATAGATTCCCTTTAAAACCAACAAGGGATTTTTAAATTAAAACACATATATTCGTAACCAAATAGAAGGTGAGAGGGGCCCCAAGCAAAAAAACGAAAATAATAAAACAAAATACAATATGTTCAGCAAATAGAAGCAACAATTCAACAAAAGAACATCGTAAGCAAATAGGGTTCAAGTGAGAGCCCCAAGCACAAAGACGGGTCCTTCGGCCTCGTTTCCCCCCGAGGCTTCGGCGGCCGCAGGGTGTCGAGGCCGGAGGCATGGGCCGCCAGCAGGCCGCTGGCGGCCACCGCGGGGACGCCGATGCCCGGGAAGCAGCTGTCGCCGCAGAGCAGCAAACCTGCGCCAGACAACGGGGGAGTTTTGGGGTGCCTGCACCCTGAACACCTGGCAGAAAACGGGAGTTTGGGGCACCTGGACCCGTGAAAAACTGGGATTTGTCCTCACACTTTAGGGGAAAGATCTGCAAAAACTTGGATTTTTGGTACTTGGTCCCTTGAAAAATGGGTTTTGTTGTAGAATTTTAGGGGAAGTATCCCATTTTTAAAGGTAGACGTAGAGTTTGTCCCAAAACTCTAGGGGGAAGATTTGCAAAACAACTTCTGGCGGAGGGAGAAAACCGGTCCTTGGACCCTGTTTCTCGGTTGCTTTCTGCTCCCCTGCTAAAAGTGACTCACGTTTAGTGGTTTCATGGAAAACTCATTAGTTGGCACAAAGTTAAAATCCTAACATCCAAGCAAAATGTACCAAACCTGGGAGAAAACGGGAGTTGGGTTCCTGGACCCTTTAAAACACAAAACTCAAACTTTAGGGGAAAGATCTGCAAAACTTGGATTTTTGGTACCTGGACCCTTAAAAACAGTTTTATCCTGAAACTTTAGGGGAAAGATCTGCACAAATCGGATTTTTGGTACCTGGACCCATAAAAAATTGGTCTGATTCCCGAAATTTTAGGGGGATGATCCCATTCTTAAAGGTAGACATGGAGTTTATCCCAAGACTTTAGGGGGAAGATTTGCAAAACTCTTCTGGCAGAAGGAGCAAACTGGTCCTCGGACCCTGTTTTTCTTGGGGGGGGTTGGGTCCCGCCCCCCTTCCGTTCGTTTGAAGAAGGGGAAACATACTGTGGAAGCAGAAACTCGTAGCCTCATTTCCGCTCGAGTGGATGATTGGATGGGCCAAACAAGTCCTGGAACTTGTTGTTTCTCAATCAAGCCATCTTCCCCAAGAGTCTTTTTTTAAAGACCGAAACGGAACTCAGGTGGGTGGACCCTTCATTTGCGTTTTGGAACCGCTTCTCCCTTCAATTAGGGGTTTGCGGGGTGATCTCCCCTACCTTAAGGGGAAGGGGGGTGTGGGGGTCCCCAATTTCATGTATCTAGTCTTCCCCATAGGGAAAATGGGTTACCACAAGACTAAAATTCCAGGGGTCACCCCAATTCCATTTTCGAGAAAGTGGGTCCCGGATTCGCGGGGGCGTCGCCGGCGTCGGCGTCTCGCGGGTGTCGCGCCTGGCAGCGGCGTCAGAGGCCCGGGGAACTCCTGGCCCTCCTTCGCGGAGATCGCTGGGCCGTAGGAGCCCTGGAAACGCCGCAGGAAGCGGCGGTGCGTGAGCGGCGTGCCCACCAGCTGCACCTGGCGAAAAAACGTGCCAGTTCCCCTCTCCTTTTGGCTCCTGCATAAAAAACAGCTGCTCATATGGGGGTGCTCCCCTCCAAAAGTGGCCCGAACCCCCACTAAAACCAGGGGCGGCCCCCTTATTAATAAACAGGCGTTGAGTAATAGGAGGTTTTCATTACCCTTCAAAACAAGGCTGGCCATCTACCAAAAGTGGTTGGCCAAACACAACGGCTGAGCAAGTTATTTTTTTGTGTATCCGCCCAAAACACTGGCAGTCATGCCTAGGCGGAGCCTCCGCGTATGCGCAACACCGTGGAAGTGTGCCTATGCGAGCCTACGCAGCAACAAGCGCCTACGCGGAGTCGTGCCTACACAGACTTTTCTCGTGCGCTACTCTCAAGTCGTAACAACAAGTTGTGTAAGGTAGAACACGCCTACGCGAACCTGCCTTCTCAGGATTTTCTTGCACAACCTACTGCCTACGCGAATCGCCTCCCCCGCCAAAATTGCCTTACGTGCATCCGCAACAGAACAGAAGAAGTTCCCCCCGAATACTCAGCGAATGCATCGCACAAAACAAAAAGCCGCTCAGCTGGCAATACACATAGCTTTGGAGACCTCAATAGTTTTGCCTTCTCTCTCATCTCATGGTTTTGGCCTGCCTTGAAAGCCCACCAAAAGGGAAATGCGGTGAAAAGGCAGCTGATGTTCATACCCCTCTCCCCAAAAATAAAAGGGGTATATACCCCTTATGAAGTGGGTTGGGTATGCACAAGGGGTATGTACCCTTGGATCTAAACCAACCCGAAAAGGGTCCTAGGTCCCAGTCTCGCGCCTTGGCGCGTTGCCGGAGGTCGGGGATGACTCGCTCCAACTGGCGCCAGAGGAACTGCACGCGCGCTTCCTTGAGGTCCTCGAGCGGGCGAGGCGCTGGCCCGAGGTGTTCATCGCGGGCACAAAACAGTTGCGTGCTGCGTTTGTACTGGAAAATTCCACGGTTTTTGCAGGTGCTAGTTCTGAAGCTGTGAAGGGTTCTCCGATAAAGACCCTCTTAAACACTAGGATGCTCACCTTTGGGCCGGAATCGACCCCTGTCTTAGGCGCAGGTGAGTCTGAATCAAAACCCGGGGATTGAAATGGTCGTACTCCCAGGACCATGCTTCAAGAACTAAGAAGGCGGAATTGCGTACCTATTCGAGGTTGAGATTGTCCCTTACCACCCTCCAATTACCCGGGTTTGGTTGGTGGCTCAGATGGCACACAGGTTTCTGGAACACACGCATAATGTCAACCCATATTAGTAAATAATAAACCCTGTTTCTAGGAAAGGGGGCAGTCCCTGGGTTTAGTGGGGAAACACACCACTTTTGGAGGGGCCCCCACCCCCCCTATTCATAAACTCGGGTTGACTAATCTGGGGTCAACATTCTGCTTCATACATTCAGCTGCTTGAGGCTCTAGGTTCCACGGCGGCGGCTTCGGGGCATTCGAGGCACTCGAGGATTTCTAAACTCAGATGGTCAGTGGCCATGGGGGAAAAAAGGGTATCCTTTTTGGTTTGGTTGAGTTTACAGGGGAACCCTTCCCACAAAAAAGTAAAAAAAGGCGCCACTGGGCAAGTGGGTAAAGCTGGCATCTCGGAATAAGATTTCTGAGCTGACTTCCCTTGAAAAAAAACAGCTCACCTTGAATACCCAAAGCACTCAACGTCATCTAGGTCCTCCAGTAGAGAGGGTAGAATAAGGCTGCCAACTTTTTCCTGTAAGTCTATTTTAGTAGGGGAACCCTCCCCCAAAAAAAGGTTAAAGGGCACTGCTGGAAAACCTAGTCGTCATGCAACCAGAAAGAAAAAAAAGGAGAAAAAAACATGCCAGACTTGCGATTTTGCCAACCTTTTGGCGGTACAGGAATGAAGGCAACCAAATTTCTGGCCGAGCAAAAGGGCAGGATCAGTCTAGAGATAGGTCGCCTTGACAATCCATCTGAAAATATTCGGCCTGTAAGACATGTTGTTTTGGCGAGGACAAACGACGGAAACCCAGAGCCAAAAAAGCGAGCCCTTTCCCCCCATCAATTGACATGGAACCTGACGTTTCAAGGGTCCTGGCTTGGACCATGTTCCTTTTAAAAATATCATTTCCCTGTCAGGTTCCATGTTGACTGGTGGGAGGGTAACTGTTTGGTGGTTGGGAGCGAAAATCAATTGAAAAACAAAGGTGAGTTCACTTGGTTGTCTAACAGCCATGAGTCTAGCGACGTCGCAGATTGGTGCCCATTCGGCGGATCGAAAACTACAACTTCAGTCTACGGTCGTCCAGAAGGTTTGGCAAAAAAAACTACCTGGAGTCTCCGTAACCTTGAAAAAGAAAGGGTTGTGACCCTTGATGTGTGGTGGATGTTGAGGGTCATGGAGAATCCAGGCGCAGCGGAACACGCGGGAACACGAGTTTCCCGATGCCAATCGATCGGATCCACTGGACGGGTTCTTGATACTTCTCCTTACGATCCTGAGGGTGTCTCACTGAAATGGGCCAAAGGGGCGATGTCTAAATTTTACTCCACGCCGTCTTTCACACCAAAACCCACCCGTTTGCAGAGGTACGCCTTTTTGGGGATGATACTTGAAATCACCATGTTCGCCCCTGCAGACTAAAACCAGCACATTTGTAGAGGAAACTCCGTTTGGGAATTGGACCCTTTGGAATTTGTCTAGCTCCACACCCTGGGTCATGACCCCTCATTTTTGGTAGACCTGCCATTCTTGATTCGGGTCAGAAGGAGACTCCTGGTAAATTCACCCTTGGATGGTGGGTTCCATCTTGATATGTTTTTCTTTGCGGGGTAGAGTCCGGACCTCCGTCTGTTCCCTTGTTTATGATCCGCTTCCACTGCAAATAACCAACAAACGTTACGTATTACTTCCAGTTGCTTAAGTCCGATAAACACAATGACATATTTCCTGTGGTGATAGATTCCCATTAAAATCAAAGCTATACACATATTCATTTTGCAAATGGGAGGTTAACGGTTCCTTCCCATGCATGGTTTCATTCCGCGGTGCGAGATGCGGATTTCGCAACCATCCACAGCAACTGTGGAGTGCAGGAGACTCCAGGTATTTGTTCACCCTTGGCGGGATCTACGTTGATCTATGTTTTTTTGAGTTTGGCCAAGTCAAAAAATAGGGATTGCTTTCTGCTCCCCTGCTAAAAGTGACTAACTTTAGTGGTTTAATGGAAAACCCATTAGTTGGCAACAAGTGCAAGTCCTAACTAACATCCAAGCAACATGCCATAAAGAACAAATAAGGGTTGCACATGCCAAAAAATGGTGGCAAACAAAAAAACACAATCTTTGAGTGGTTGCAAATGCAAACAACAAGTTGAACCAACCGCTATATGCTAAAACAAGTCGTCGAAGAGAAGGGCACTCGTGACCTGAGGCTCGAGTTGGGTGGGTCCGGCCTGGTACTCCTGACTCTTCCGGTCCAAGTCCTTCCACCGCTCCCAACTCTCCGTGGCAGGGGTGTAGGCGTGCAGCACCCCGAAGCCTTCCGAGTCCGATTCCGTTGGATCAGCTGTCCGTGGACCCGCTCCAGGCCGGAGGTGAGGGGAAGCGTTTTTGTTTTCCCCGGAATCTTAACTGCTGTGGATGGTTGCGAAATCCAAAAATCGCACCACCCAAGAAAACAATGGTTGGAACCACGTTGGTTGGAATATACGTTGGGGAATCGAAGCATTCCCAAGGTTTCTTAATTTCGTCCATCCACAGCATTGAATGGTAAAAATGGGATGATCCAGTACTGCCGCCATATGACTCTGTCCCCAATCTCTCTCTCTCTCTCTCTCTTCATCAGCCTCTTTCCTCCCCAACCAACAGTAACTCATGGGGCAGGAGTATGAAGGAAAGGAGAAAGGGATCTCTGCTTTCCCACTCCTCTGTTCGTTCGTGAGTGTCCGTGAGAGATAAGTAGCTGATAAACCAACCTGAGGTAAGTAGCTTATAACTATAGTGAAAGAACTTGCGGTGGGGGTGCAACTAGCTTAGTAAGTAGGTTGCAACCATAGTTATAACTGGGTTACTGGGGTTGGTTGTGTTATAACAATGGTGAACAACAGCTTGGGTGCCTAGCTTGTGCCCTTACCATGGTGAGAACCTTATGTAGGTCCTTTTGACCAACCTGGGCCCAATTCTATGATACCAAAGTGGGACTCCTATCACTACTTCAAGTAGCTTGCTTTTAGGTTTGGGAACAAATGCTAGGTCCTCCAGTAGAGAGGTTAGAATAAGGGTAGCCTTTTTTCTGCAGTCTATTTTAGTAGGGGAACCCTCCCAACCAAAAAAGAAACGGGAGAGAAGGGCACCTAGCTGGGGGACCTAGAAATGGGAAGCTGCCCATGCGCCGAAGGCCATGAAGGTCGGCTCCGGTTTCGCCACCCGCCTTCCGGCGCCAGGGTCTTGTCCTGCGAGTCGAAAACTCAAGCGCCCTGCTCTGGATGGAGCGAAATCCAGACATTGCACCACCATTCAGAATCCTCAGTTGCTTTCTGCTCCCCTGCTAAAAGTGACTAACTTTTAGTGGTTCAATGGAATACCCATTAGTTGGCAAAAAGTTAAAGCCCTAACATCCAAGCAAAATGCACCTAAGAACCCCTGGAACGCTTCGATTCCCCAACGTAAATACCAACAATCGTTATGGCTTCAACCATGGTTTCATTTCGTGGTGCGAATTGGATTTCGTCCATCCGCATTGCGATCGGCCCCGCTCGCCATCGGTAAATACCAGGAGTCTCCGAATCTGACCCGAAAAAACATGGCGGGTCAGACTGCCAAAAGAGTTTGGGGTGGCAACCCATCTTTGGGTCAGGAGAGCCAGGTATGTGCCTTTGTGGGGTCCAATCCCGCACTCTGAGCCGAGTTTCGCTCGAATTTTAGAACTCCGAAAAGGTCCCTTCCGTCCTCGGGAAAGCCGACAAAAGGAACATCCTTGCGAAGGACTTCGGTTTGAAGCCATCAAACCTAAAGTCATGGTTAGTGGACAGTGAATTTGGAGCGGGAGGGTTCTTGCACGCCAAATCCTGCCTAGACACCTTGGAAAAGAGCATCTGGGATACAGCAAATCATATGTGCAACGGTCAAAAGAAGCAGGGATGGTCATCCTGGTAGTAAGCATCCTCAAAAACCACCATAATGAGTTCTGTTTACTGAGCTATGACCATAGGCCACGTAATAAAACCGAGCTTTGACCTTGGCACATACTGACGGACGAAATCCGCTTCTCGCACCACTTGGAACCCATGGTTGAAACCGTAACGTTTAAACGTTGGCATTTGCAGGATGCGGAATCGAATCATTCTAGGGTTTCTTGGGTGGTGCGAAATGGATTTCGTCCATCCACAGTGTCTGGAGCCCCCTGGAGTCTCCTTCTGACCCTTTGAAAAATGGTTGGTCATGGTGGGGCAGGATTTTGTCCATCCGCAGTATTTAGTCTGACCTAAAAATATGTTTGGAGGCTCCAAGTTGACCCCGTCTGGGACTCGATAATTTTTTGGGCGTGGAAACCGAATCGAGGACGGCTCAATGAATACCATATCTCTATACCTAGAGTCTCCATGACCCCTAGCAAAAAGGGGTCATTTGACCCCTTAATTTTTGGCAATTACCCAATTTGTTGAGGGTCATGGAGAGTCTAGGTATATATATATATATACATATATCAACCCTGGTATCAACCCCTGGTTTAAAGGCAAAATAATCATTAGTTGTGGCTGAATTACAGGAAATGAGGATCAGGATGCCGAAAAGGCCATGGGTTCACAAATCCATAGGAGCCCCTTGGACCTCATGATTTGAGGCCGTTCGGCAAGGGGGTCAAAGGCCAACTCATATTTTTCGGGTCCTCTTGGGGGCCCTTACATGGCCATGGTTCAAAACCAATGGGATCCCATTTTGGGATAGGTGCACCACCCATTTTAGAACCTATTTCAGGGATCCTTACATTATACACCTGAACATTGCCTTCTAAATGCCGGTTTCCAACTTTATTTTGGTGTTGAACAGGCAACATGTTTCAACTGGTTGCAACATGGCGATATTTTAAGGAGCCCTGTATTTTAGTGGTTGGATTGAATCGGATGTTCACTGGGGGCCAACCAATTTGGGTATTGACCCATGGCATCCGCAGGGCCCAAGTCCTCCACGGAAGGGATGGAGATCAGCAGGGCGTTCTCCTCCGCATCGACCCCACGGCCCCAGTCCTCCAGGCAGATGTAGTGCTCCTCAGGCTGAAAAAAATCAACAACCTCCCCCTTTAAAGGGGCTGAAACAAAACAACCACCTCCCCTTAGCAAGCGGCTGAAAAAACAGAACAAATTCAACTCAGTCATTTCATAGGTGTCCTTTTTGGCAAATAGATGGCAAATAGAGTAGATGAAGGAACCACCAGGTCAACCAGGGCCCTCTATTTTGCAACCAAACCAACCAAAAACATACATCTATGACAACATCGGGGTCATTGCAACTCATTCCCTGCTGAGAACCAGCAAGGTCAATAGTGGTCTCAAAAAACAACATCCCGTGTTGGTTTCCTTTTGGGTAAATGGGTGTTGGTCTGGAAATAAAGCATTGTGCTTTCGGTAAATGTCAGGGGCTGGACAAATCCAAGATAGACCCATCCGCAGTTGGTTTCCTTTTGAGGAAATTCGAAATTGGCTACTACTTAGGACCCAGCAAAGCAACGAGAGGGGTAGACCAGTCACTTTCTCCATTCCGCAAAGTAGAGGATATAACTCACAGGGTATACCTCAACCCCTTTGGTCATGAAGAGGTAGTGTCAACCCCGTTGTTATGACACATCAGTTGTCTTTGATTAATGTTGACCCCGGAAGAATAAACAGGCCTGCTATTTGGGGGTTCCCTCCAAAAGTAGTGAATCCCCCCTTTCGATGAAAATCAACATGTTTTTTTCCGGTTGACATTTACAAGAAAGGGGATATAATCGTATAACCGAATTGGGAAATCTCGGGAGATGATGAAAAGCTCCTGGATTCCCTGCGGCCAATCCGCTATAGGAGGGAGGGTAATCGCAAAATCACAGCCAAGTCTTGGCTCCTTGTAAATATAGACTGCACCTCAGCCCGAAAAATAACGACCTATCAACAGAACGGCAAAACCCTAAATCTATGGGCTGGCTTGTTTGGAACATGTGAGGGTCCAGGCAGATAAATAAATCCTGGCTGTAAGAACGCGCTCATGGCCGTGGTCCACTGCATCCCAGCTGTTTGCTTACGGGGAAGGGTGTCCCATTTTAAATATGTTTGTCTCAACATGGGGGAACACTCGAAACGGGTGGTGTTCCTTGGGAATCCCTTTAAAGGCAACCCAGAAAGGGTACCCTCAAAAAGAATCCTTTCTGAGAAGGTGGCCCGACATCATGTTGACAGACCGATCCTTTGCTGAAAGGGGTGACACCTCCATAGACAAACCATCCTCTTTTCCTTTGGTCTCTTGAAGTACCGATTTCTTTCGGGTTATCGATCAACAAAACAGTCCCTAAAAATGCCACTGGCGAAGCAACACCTACCTACCAGCACCCTCCAAGGGTGGTCCATTTCTATTTGCAGTGCTCTTGTGTGAGCCATTTTGGGCACAAATGGACCACCCATCAAGAATGTGCTGGTAACAATCGGATTCAATCAAGGTGGAATTTGAGCCATGGCTCGTCTCTGTTCGCCATTCCCGCAATCCAGAATCACAGCCCCAAGTCTCACCCGATCGCCTGGCCTGCAAAGCATCCAAGCCTTTCATATCGAAGCCCAGGTGCAGGTGCCTTGCGGATGAAGTTGCCCCAATCCCACGGACCAATGGAAACCGGTTTTAGTGATCATGCGCTCCAAACCAACAAAGGTGGCGGAGCCATGTTTTGTGCTGTAGGTGGTACAGTCATTTCAAAAGCCATAGCCATAGCATGCCCAATGGCAATCGACGAGTGGATCAGGACGAAGCTCTCCGGGGTCATGACGAAGCTCTCATGACGACTTGACGGGCTCTGAATCAGTTCTCCAGTTTCCCCTAGAGAGCCCCCAAAGCTTCCAGGGAAAGCCACCCATTAGGGTAGGCCACCAGTGTTTTGTTTTTGTGGATTTACAATATGGCTCCCCTACCAGTTTTGTTTTTATTAGTGTCTTTTTGCTGGTGTCTTACCACATGGCTCCACTGCGCACCTCTTATAGTGATCATTGAAGCACTGGCCCATAGACCGGGGAAGATTTACCATCCCAGGATTGGCCCATCTACGCAGGAAGTGAGAGCTCCAATATTTGGAATTCGCCATACCTGGAGTCCATCCAAGGGGCCTAAAAATTGGTGCCACTTTTCTGAGCCACAGCCGTATGGAAATCGGTTTCTGTCGCGGGACCCGTTGTTGGGATAGGTGGATAGGTAGCTAGGGGTGGCTCAAAACTAAAGAGCACCCCATGAACCTTTACAAATGGGGTCATTACCCAAAAGAAAGGGGTCATGATCCCATTTTTTAAGAGGTCATGGAGAGTCTAGGTACGCATCTTGGGACATCAAGACGAGCCTTTTCGAGGTCAAGAGATTCAATGGAGAGTCCAATGATGCTTAGGTTGGAATTTGTCTAAACTTTTCATGTAGCACTGGGAATCCCAGATTTCTAAACTGGTTGATTTTGATCGAGGGGTGTCCAATTCCTTCTCTATTGATTCTGACTGAAGGGAACACCCTCAAATGACCATGGGTAACTTCTCCCGTTTAGTGGTGAAAGTACTGTCTGTGGATGGACAAAATCCTGCACCACTTTGAAACATGAGAAACCATTGTTCCTTGGTGTTTACAGGGGAATTATCACTCCAGGGTTTCTCAGGTGGTGCGAAATGGATTTTGTGCATCCACAGTATCAAAACCTTCTTTACCCTAAGGGTCATCACCCCTCCAATGCACATGCCCGGACCCTCCAATGGAGAACCCCGACCAATTTATCAGGGCCCCAATGGAAAACAGCCAGTTAGGGCCCAAAAACAATCCATCGACCCTTGGAGTAGTGGTTTTCCAAGCACTTGCCGGACCTTTCCAACCCAATGGCTCGGCATCACCTGCTGCCCGAGAGGCATAAAGGACCGGCAGGCCGGAGTGCTCTCACCTCGCCACTCGAGCGAACTGTCCGTACTACCCAGAGTCTCCATGCCCCTTAAAAAATGGGTCCATGACCCCATTATTTTGGGTAATGACCAACCATTTTTGAAGGGTCATGGAGACTCCAGGTAGTAACAATACGGGGTGTCCTATTGAAAAGTGATGAACTCCTACCAGCAGGCGACACCCCCCAATCAAGGATGGTGACTCTATAACCCCAAGTAAACCAGTCGAACCACCTACAAAATGCCCCTTCAGGAATCGGCTTTGGCGATGGTATCCCCAAGAGCACCCCCAAAAAACCAGCCCAGTCGCCAGCCGCTTGGCTCCGAACCACGCCAGAGATCTGAACAATAGCCCCAAAGCTTTCATCTGAGCAAGCTTGGTTTGTAGTCCCTGCTTGCAAACAAGTGGATTGGCCAAAACAAGTCGAGACACTGTTTGTTCCAAAGCGGCTTTCCCAAACCCAAAAAGGAAAGCAAAATTCGAAACGGAATGATCCCCAGAAGGAGTTCCTTGCTGTGGCTCCCTTTCCGATCTTTGTTCATGGAAAACCCGTGGAAAAGGACTTTGCCGGGCTGTCCGTTCTCCGATGCTAAAAGTCGAACTTGCGCGCTCAACTCGTTTTCCCCACCCGCGAAACCAGCCAAAAGCGTACCTGGAGTCCCCGTGACCCTGTGAAAAATGGGGTCATGCCCCCACTCTTTTGGGTAATGACCCCTATTTTTTAAGCCATGGAGACTCCAGGTACTACACAAAGCTAAGGAACCGGACGATTCGCTGGGAACCGCCAAATCATTATTGAGTCAACCAAGGCTTCTCTCTACCTCTCCCCGCTAAGCATGGAAGCGCCCTTTTCTCCTTTTGGAGCATGGGGAGGGTAATTTGGGGGGTTGGTTTCACAATTCGGGACCACGAAAAATGGAGGTGTTCCCTTCGGTTTTCCTGTAAAGCAACCCCAAAAAAGGGAACCCACAAAAAGACACCCCCCTCTCAGGCTTGCTTCGAGCTTCAATGTCAACCCCGAAATCTATCAACATGGCTTGCTGCCCCCCAAAACAAGATTGATGGATTCCATCCAACATGGGATATCCCGAAATAAATAATCAACTAGGGGGCTATTCGTCTTCGTCCTGAACCCCCATTATTCCCAGGATGTCCACCCGCCCATTTCGCTTCATTTGGGAGAAAACCTGAAAATTTAAACTGCTGTCAAGTTTCATTAGCTTTGTCCCGCGGCCAAGTTATGTTTCTTAGTAAGCAGCACCGCCGATTTATCTGCCATGATCTAGCCTCACCAGTAAGCAAGTGAATATGACGGGAAAGCAATTGCTAACATGCACTCCTCCGATGATCATGACCGAACTGGTCTTACAATACCCATTTTGTTTGAGACCCAAGTATAGCTCTTGACAGGACCTGAGAACCTAAGGTCCTCTCTACAGGGGTCTCGAAAGGGCCTGAGAAGTGAAGATCCTCTGCGCAAAAAACAACTTTTAGTGGGTTAAATTCGGAGACCCAACCTCTAAACCACCTGAAAACCAGAAACCACTAATTAAAACCGACACAAGAAAGACCAGAGGATTCGCTGGTTCCCAGGCGCGCCAACCACCCCTCCGACTTTTCGATATGAGGCTCCGGCGCTCCCGGCGCCAAGCATCCGGCAGCGAGTCGGGCGGCAAGAGCTTCATGAGGTCCCAGCAGCTGGTGTTGCAAATCACCGTGGAGCACCTCCGTGAACAGAACTCGGCGTCGCGAAATTGATTTTCTTCCTGGGCACTGGGTACCAAAAAAAAGAAAGGGGTCATGACCCCAGTGTTGAAGGGTCATGGAGAGTCTAGGTAGACTTGTTCACTGGATTAATCTCCTCGGTTCCTTTCTGCTCCCCTGCTAAGAGGTGACTAACTTTTAGTGGTTTAATACGGAAAGCCCCTCTTAGTTGGCAAACAGTTCAAGTCCTCACATCCGAGCAAGATGCACCAAAGAAAAAACCGGCGTCACGAAATCTGTCATTTCTTCGTGGTGCTGATTTTTGATTGGTTGAGATCTTTGAGGGTGTTTTTTTTCAAGTAACAGGTAGAAAAAACTGGTGTGAGGTTTGGTTGTTGTAGAGGGTCAAAAGCTGAGAAATGGAATTTCCCCCGCAAGCCATCCAACGGCTAACTTCCTTTAAGGGAATCCCTAGGTTCATTCCCTAAGAAAGGGCGTGTCTTTCTTTCTTCGAGGGTGCGGCGCTTTTTACAGGTCACCCGTCAGGTTGGTGGTTTGGAGTTGGGGGCTTGACTCCAAAAAGACATGGGCATGATGCTTGAAGCATGCAGTGGGCAGGCCGGTCTACCTAAGCCGATATACTGGGAATATCGAATATGTGCGTATTTGGGACCTCTGCGCAACCGTTATCAGCTGGGTAGCAAACGTCTCTAATTACTTTCGGCACATCAAGCAGCTGTCTTGGTGCAGGTAGTGACTTCACAAAGAAATGACATGTTTAAGTCATTTTCTGGAGGTCACTTTATGTTCATCCCATCAAAGGATATGTTGAGGGTGAACTTCTCACTGACCAGTTCGGAAGTAGACACAAAAAGTTGACCTTTGGGGACCTACTATAGTGGTTGCCCAAAGGGGAAAACCCACAAGTTAAAAGGTCGATTTTGAGTAACTGAGACTTAGATGTTCGGATCGATGGAGTCAAATTTGTTGGCAGCCGTTGCAAGGGGAGCGTGGGACTGGGGGCTAGCCACTGAAGTCTCGGAAAACCAAGAGCGACCATCTAGAAAACGGCTGGGATGCGCCTTTTTGTGGATTTCACCGGGCTCTGCCTCTGTTGGTCCTTTCTTATTTTTATTTTTTAGTTTTAGTACTCTTTCAATATTCTGCAGGGGTGAATCCACAAAAGTCACATGGCTGTGGCTCAAAAAACCGGTACCCAAAATGGGTTGCCCTGGTAAGAGGAAACATGGACCAAAACCTGCGGTTTGCCCCTCCTGCTTGATTTTGAGCCACACCCCTCTCTTCAGCTCTTGCAGTGCCAAAGTTGGAGCCGAGTTTTTGACCCGCCATTCAACTCCAAGACTTGTGTTATGGAATCCTCGGGGGGTAGGTACGTTGCGGGTAGTTGAAGTCACTAGGGTTCCTTAGGTAGTGAAAGTCACATCCAAGCCCGTGGGCTAGTTCCCTGAGTCTATTTTATGTTTTATCATTTTTTCTGGGGGCCTTTTTTTTTTGGAGTCTCCGTTTCTAAATACCTGGAGTCTCCGAATCCGACTCATTATACAATGCTTCCCTGGCCCCTTAGACCCGGCCTCGGCCTCAAATATTTTTCTCGTTCCAAGGGGCTCCTAGGCCTTGACCTACCAATAAGAAGGGGGTCTTGGGCTCCTAATGCTTGGTGTACCAAAAAAAGACAAAGCAGTGCCCTGGATGTCTCTTTCTGTAGTCTCCCTTTAAACTGCAACCCAATAGGGAGAACCCGTGCCTAGGCCTTGATTTACCAAAGCACAAAGGTCTTGGGCTCCTCCCCCTTCTTGATTCGGGTCAGATTCGGCTCGAGAGCTCGGTGTAGGCGAAACAAAAAAAGAAAAGACACACAAGAAAACAAACAAACCAAAAACACCTAGGGCTTGATTAACTCAAACAAAAACAAAAACAAAACAACAAACAAAAAGAAACCTAGGGCTCGATTGACTCAACCAAAAAGTCTTGGGCTCCTAGGGTCAAGTCAAGAAGAAAGAGAAAAGACGCCCAGGGCTCGATTTACTCCAAAAAAAAGAAGAAGTCTTGGGCTCCTGGTTTCATGACTTTCCCCCCTTTTGATGCGAGGGCTCAAAGCAGCGCGAGAGCCGAGCCGTCCGAGTCAGCCCACTGGCCTCAGCTCCTCGCCGCTCTTCAGGCGAATGCCGCAGGCCTGAGGTGGGTTTTAGGGGGGGCTACCGGGGGGGAGGGTTTTGGAGGGGGGGGGGCTTCCATTTGCTGAAGTTTTTTCGGAGAAAAAAAACAATCACTAGTGATAGATTCCAACTTTAAAACCAACAGGGGAAAATAGGGAAAATAAATCATCTTCTTAAGCAAATGGAAGTGAGGTGATCATCGCTTCGGGGTGGTACACGTCTGGGGTCAAATGCTGCGGGGGGAGGGGGGGGGTTGGCGGGGGTCCACGGGTAAAGGGGTCCAGGGTTTTCCACGCTGCGTCTCTTTTTGTAGGGGACCTCCAAAATGGCGAGCAACGTGGTTGCCCTTGTGTTTTCCCTTGAAAACCACGCACAAACGCCGTGGAAGCATTAAAAACACCCACTTGGACGTCCCACCGACATGAGGGTGGGTGTGGTTTTCAACATCACCGTTTTGGGGTGATAGGTCAGCTTCCTGCAAGGGTGGGCACCCACCGGAGGTCAACCATAGCAACACTTGGGAACCTCCGGTGGGTGCCCACCCTTGCAGGAAGCTGACCTATCACCCCAAAACGGTGATGTTGAAAACCACACCCAGGACACGTATACCTAGAGTCTCCTTCTGACCCTTAAAAAATGGGATCATGACCCCTTAATTTTGGGCAATGACCAACCATTTTTAAGGGTCATGGAGAGTCTAGGTAGACTCTCTTTCTGACCCTTAAACATGCTTGGTCATTGCCCAAAAGAAAGATTCGGGTCAAATGGGCCCATTTTTAAAGGGTCAGAAGGAGACTCTGGTTGCTCGCTTCCTGGATGGATTGGCCAAAAGTTGTTGTGTGCCTCCAAAATGGTCGAAACTCCAAACAGAAAACAGTCCGAAACGGAACTGGGGGAGTGTCATGAGCTGACATGGAGTTTCACCCCCAGGCTGAGCCCCTTGGGGGTGGGACTTCCTGAGTGGATCACCAAACGGTTTGTCTAAGCCACTACAATGCTCGAAACCCAAAAAGTGACTCACGTCCATGAACTCAGGAAGTAACCAAACTTTCCTTTGCCGCCAAACAAATGGTCTAAACCCAAAAAGTGACGATCAACGTCCGAGTCCCGCAACAAATCGGGAGTGAGACATCCGCAAAACTCCGCCTTGTTCCGCTCCACCAGGATCTCCTCCACCTCTGCCCTCAGTCTGAGCTCGCCCTGGTACTTGGCCAAGGCTTCCGTGAGCACGCGCACCAAACTCTGCACCTCAACGTCTCCCTAGAGTCTCCCTCTGACCCCTAGAAAAAGGGCCCATTTGACCCCTTATTTTTTGGCAATGACCCCATTGTTTAAGGGTCATGGAGAGTCTAGGTCTGCTTTTGGTGCGTTGGTACCGCCCTTTTGCTCTGGGTTTACAGGGAAACCACGACGAAAACCTGTGCGCCAGGTCTGTTCTTGAGTGGGTACCCCCTTTGTTGTGGGTTGTGGCCACTTCCGCTTTTCAGACCACTCTTAAGTTTCTCGTTGCGTGGCTGCAAAATGGGTGTCTTTTGTGAGTTGGTACCCCTTTTCAAGGGAAAACCAAAAGGAAAACCGTAAATCGCTCAATACAAACAAGTCGAGCCACCCAAAAGGGGCTGTTCCAGTGGTGGATGTTCTGGTTTATGTTGACCAGAGTTCCCCTGATTTGGGGTTTGCCATGCGCGAGGTCCACGGAAACCAAAGACAAGGACTCCCTAAGTGGATTGGCTGAACTGTCTGTTCGCCAGCAACCTGATATTCCCAAAACGTTCAAAGTCTGCACCTGAGGCAGAACGTGGTGCTTTCCGGTGCTGATCTGTTATGATGTGTTTTTTTGTCTTAAGACGCATGCGGTTGGCTTTGTCATGTGTGGCTTGCGCTTGATCTCTTCACCTTTGGCGCCAAAGATGCGTTGCTTTTTGTGGGTTTACTTTGACATGCTGCTGGGTGTCCTCCTTGTTTCAATAGTTCTCCGGCACGTTTTCTTTTGTTGTTTACATTACCCACTTTCCAATTATCATACGGAAGCTAACCACCATTGTCTTGAACGGCCTCACGCCCACTTCATGATTGTTGGAGAAGGCATGTCGTTGTGATTTCCTACTTGAAGACGCATATGACGTGCTCACAATGCAGTTACCTCAATGAGCATGCAAACATCAGGTTGCATCTGACAGATTCCCGTCAACAAGGAACAACCAGGAGGTCCGCAACGAAACTTTGCTTGCGAGGTCTGGACATTCAAAGGGGGCTGGAAAGACATGACTTTTGACCCCCTTGCGCTCACCTTTAGGGAAAATCATAACAGATCTGTGTTGTAGAATACTAGTACATGGTTGTGAAAAATCAACATCGACCTTTCTGTGAATCCAAAGTGGTTGATTGCCATCACTACTGTTCCTACTTTAAAAGAGGGTCTGTCCTAGATTGCTGTCCATGTCGTCATGTCCAAATTTATCATTTGTAGATGTTCTATCCGTTGTTGTTCTCACCAGCCTTAGTCACCCATCAAAGCAACAAACACACCATGGGAATTTATGAACCACCGACCAATCCGAGAACTGTGGTGTATTCTCCATGAAGAATCTGTGTGTTCTTGGAGGCGCGGTCCACTTTCAAGAGAAACCTGGAGGAAAACCAGCGAGTTTGGGCGTCCCCAGTGTCTTGCTCCCTTTCACATATTTCTAGAGACCCCCAAAACTGCTAAATCCCTGTGTTTCAAAAACCCACCCCCCATGAGGGGCCCTTCTGTATTTCTAACTGGGCTTCGGCCGCATTTCGCGGGTTGTATTTCAGGAGAGGTCCTGGGAAAATGGCCCCACACCATCCGCCCACGTCTTGGTTCGATAGGCAGGGAATGAGTTGGAATCCACCCGCGGCACGAAAAACAAAATCCGTCCTATGGTTTCCTTGACTCGCAACTCCCCAAAACTCTAGGGGTAATTACCTTCCTTGTCCATTCTTTCCAGGGATCCGGAGTTCTTTCTAGGAAACCTCCAGAAGCCCAGGGAAAACGGATCCGGTTTTTGGAAAGAACGATGGTTGAACAGAATGGAAAAGGAAAATCAGCCCCTAGAAAAACAAAAAGAAACAAACACATCCATCCTCTGGTTTCCTTTACTCGGGAATCCCCACCCAAAAACGGTTCCAACCGCTTTTAGGCTTCCTTCCTTCGCTTTCCTTCGGGGCGCGCCGCCGACGGGGTAGTCCATGGTGGCGCCGGGCTTGTAGAATTCCCCGAACATCATGGCCATCTCCTGGCGGCTGCTTTCTGATCTGCTAAAAATTTACCGGCTCATTTGTTCAGGTTCGATCCGGAGAGTCTAGGTCCTGGTGCTCAAATTTCACCACACAAATGTCCGCACCTTGGGCCCTTGCTTAGATGATCTGGTTATAGGGGACTTACAACCATGCTAAGTGGGCTACAACAACGGCTACCAACCACTTAGCTAAGTCCCACCGCCTTCACTTGCCAAAATAAGCTTCGATTGCTTTGGGATCCCTAGCAGCCCAATACCGCAAAATATGAGGGCCTTTGACCCCCAAAGGCCTCACATAAGTTTCAGTAAAATAACAACCTACACTCTCCTTCTGACCCTGTGAAAATGGGTCCATGACCATTTGGGCAATGACCAACCATTTTTTACGGGTCATGGAGACTCCAGGTACCGTTTAGTGCTTCAACGGAAAAGCCGTATTAGTTGGCAACAAGTTGAAGTCCTAACATCCAAACAAAATGCAAGTCCTGGCGACTCGAGCGACCCACCGAAGGCCCTCGGGCGACGGATCTTTGTGACTGGATCCTCTTCTCCATACATTCTAGGGGACACTTTCCAGAAAACCATCAGAACCCCCGGGGAAACAGCTGGTTCTTTAAAAGGAACGATGGTTGAAAAACATGGGGAATCAACCCCTAGATACATGGGCGGCTCGTCTTCTTGAAGGCTGGACCACCTCAAAAAATGGGCGGTTGTCAACTGTTGGTGTCCTCCGAAAACGACCAAACAGGGGCTCAGTTGTTCAGTGACCCTGGAAAAAAAGGAACCTTGTTGGGGAAGACCATTTTTTGTGGGGCCGCCACCAAAAAAAAGGGAAAAGGGTGCCACTGAACAACTGAGGGGGCACCCTCAACAAGAAGACGCGGCCAAATCCAAGATGTCTGGGCCCTGTCGTAATTTATCCCCTTGTAAGGCGGCATCTGCGCGAACCCCGCACCGGTGGCACCGTGAACAGTCCGAAAAGCAAGTGGCCATCTGTTCAATCCTCCGGGTGTTGCGACTTTCCGTTGCAGTTCCAATTCGAAAAGCACCTTCTAACCCAAAAGGAAACTTGGTTTCCCAGCGAGGGACAAGGGTACAAGCATAGGCTATGCAGCATAGGTGACCTTTCGAGAAAAAAAAAACACACACACAAAACCATGGCCGTCGTACATGAATCTAAACCAGTACCGTCTATGTCTATCACCAAACCAACCTGAAAAGGCCACATTGACATATGGCGCTTCATGAAAACAAGCCGCAGGTCTCACAGCACCCTCTTCCAATATGCCAAGAGAGAGCTGCTCCAAACAGATCCCAGGGCTTGTTTGGGTGGAGCGATTTTCCCATCCCCGTTGATCACTCAGAGGATTGTTTATCTCGAAACGCTCGCCCTGACCCTCAAGGACTCCAGACCCCCCCCCCCAATGCTTCACAAACCATGGCTCTGCCCCCAGAACAACTAGAGGACGATTGGCCCGAAAGCATTTTTCCACAGGTGCTCATCCAGCTGCGGAGACACCTTTTTACATCGCTGCGGCGAGCGTGTCTGCGCGCGGCGATGCTCAGTGTGTATGGTCACATGAGAGCTCCATCTCATCATCCTACTTTCCTCTCGAACTGCGCCGCGCGATTTCTCACGAAAGTGGTCTGCGCAAGCTGCATTGTTCCAGGCTGCTGCGCGCAAGTTGCTCTCTGCAAGCTGCTGCGCGCAAGCGCTCTGTGCAAGTTGCTCTGCGCAAGTGCTCTGAGCAAGTTGCTCTGCGCAAGTGCTCTGCGCCAGTTGCTCCGCGCAAGCGCTTTGCGCATGTGCTCTGCGCAAGTTGGTCTGTGCAAGTTGCTCTGCGCCTGCTCTGTGCAAGTTGCTCTGCGCAAGTGCTCTGAGCAAGTTGCTCTGCGCAAGGGCTCTGCGCCAGTTGCTCCGTGCAAGCGCTTTGCGCATGTGCTCTGTGCAAGTTGGTCTGTGCAAGTTGCTCTGCGCAAGTGCTTTGTGCAATTGCTCTGTGCAAGTTGCTCTGCGCAAGTTGCTCTGCGCAAGTGACTCTGCGCAAGTTGCTCTGCGCAAGTGCTGCCGGAGATGCGGGGGTGTGCTCCGCGTACTACATTTGTACTTAAAAGTTGCGATTCTCCAGGCGGAGCTCCGCGTACTACGTTTGTACTTAAAAGTTGCGATTTTCCAGCCTGAGCTGCGGGAGCACGCTCCGCATACTACGTCTGTACTTAAAAATTGCGATTTTCCACCCGGAGCTGCAGGAGCACGCTCCGCGTACTACGTTTGTACTTAAAAGTTGCGATTTTCAAGCCGGAGCTGCGGGGGTGTGCTCCGCGTACTACGTTTGCACTTAAAAGTTGCGATTTTCCAGCCTGAGCTGCGGGAGCACGCTCCGCGCACTACGTCTGTACTTAAAAGTGGAAAATCCAGCCGGAGCTGCAGGAGCACGCTCCGCGTACTACGTTTGTACTTAAAAGCTGCGATTTTCAAGCCGGAGCTGCCGCGGACCAGGGGGGAACCGAACCCGCGACCGCGGGATTGCGAAAGCAGGCGCAGGCCGTTTCGCGAGCAAGAATCTTGCACGGCGCCACAGCGAGAGCGCTTCGACACGCACAATCTCCGCAGAGGGTTCGCCGAGACTAAGACAAATTCGCACGGCACCACAGCGAGAGCGCTTCGACGCGCACGATCTCCGCAGAGGGTCGCGCGCGCACCGCAGAAATCATAAAAAGTCCTCAGTTTTTGAACCTCGACCACGCGAATCTCCGCAGAGGGTCGCGCGCGGCCAGCAGAAATCGTAAAAAGTCCTCAGTCCTCGACCACGCGAATCTCCGCAGAGGGTCGCGCGCGCACCGCAGAAATCGTAAAAAGTCCTCAGTTTTTGAACCTCGACCACGCGAATCTCCGCAGAGGGTCGCGCGCGGCCAGCAGAAATCGTAAAAAGTCCTCAGTTTTTGAACCTCGACCACGCGAATCTCCGCAGAGGGTCGCGCGCGGCCAGCAGAAATCGTAAAAAGTCCTCAGTTTTTGAACCTCGACCACGCGAATCTCCGCAGAGGGTCGCAATCCCGAGCGACGATCAAACTCCCGCCCCGGCGCCTTAGAAACCTAAACTAACTTACATAGCTGCTAACGCCGAAGCTCTAAGCTCTACCTAACCTTGGCTCTATGTAACTTGGCTCTATGTAACTTGGCTCTATGTAACTTGGCTCTATGTAACTTGGCTCTATGTAACTTGGCTCTATGTAACTTGGCTCTATGTAACTTGGCTCTATGTAACTGTATGTAACTTGGCTCTATGTAACTTGGCTCTATGTAACTTGGCTCTATGTAACTTGGCTCTATGTAACTTGGCTTGGCTCTATGTAACTTGGCTCTATGTAACTTGGCTCTATGTAACTTGGCTCTATGTAACTTGGCTCTATGTAACTTGGCTCTATGTAACTTGGCTCTATGTAACTTGGCTCTATGTAACTTGGCTCTATGTAACTTGGCTCTATGTAACTTGGCTCTATGTAACTTGGCTCTATGTAACTTGGCTCTATGTAACTTGGCTCTATGTAACTTGGCTCTATGTAACTTGGCTCTATGTAACAGGGGCTCCGCACGGAAGAACCCTTCGCGATGCTTTCGGGAAAAAATTAGGCGCTGCCTCATGTTAAAAGACACCTGAAATGGGAAAGTCCCCGATCAATTGGGTTACATACAACCTCCAAGCGGCAGCGTCCAAAAAGGTGCCATACTTTTACCCCCCCCCCAACCAAAAAGACAAGGCTGAGGACAGGGTGTGCAAGCCATGAACCAACCTGAAGGGTCTTACCTTTTAAAGCTTTGAGACATGGGCGGCCTCTTGTTGAGTGGAGTGTTTGAAGGGAAACCCAAAGTACACTCCACACGATCTCTGTGCTTTTTTTTTTCCGGCGGATTGCAGCCTTTAAAGTTTAACACCCACATAACCAATGATTCAGCGACAGTCAAGCAATACATTGTAGAGATCCTAATAGGGCTTCCGGGCTTGTCTTCAATTGGCAAAGCCCACAACATGGGTCGCGTATCCCCAAGTACTGGTACTCCTGTAACTCACTCGACCCTCAACCAAAAACCATACCCATTCTGTGTGTCTGTCTTAAAACAGGCACCCCCCCCTGCCAATGCGTTAAAACCTTTGTAAGGCATTGTGAACTCATCATGATCTATCAGGCTTCTTCTTTCGTTCTGGGTTCACATTTGCAAAAGGTGAACCCTCGCAATGGGTTCGACTTCCCCTTGCTTTCCCATGGCTTTCCAACTTTTAACCGACCGCAAAACAGCCTACCCTCAGCCCTCCCCATAAAAAGTACTGAAATTCCTTTCCGTGACCAGGGTGGATCCTCCTGGAATTCCCGAACCAGTTGATCCATTTGGGCCATTCAGGGTTTCGAAACCCCGGGTGTCCCGAGTCGGTTTCCTCTACCAACTCCAGAAATCGAGGGCTGAATTCGTATCTCACAGCCGAAAATTCCAATGAACCGTGGCGCAAAACCCGCAAAACCCCACATGGCCCTCGAGAACCAAAAAAAAGACTTGAAAAAAAAAAACTAAAACAAATGGACATTCCTTGGAAGTTCTCAAACTGCAATTAATAAGTACACGTTGGAATTTCCAGCAAAACTAAAACTCCCACCGCCCGCTCCGCGGTGACGGTGCCATCCGCCGGCAGTCCGGAGAGGCAGAAGCACAGCAAATCCTCGCTCCATGGAAACGCCCTCTCCAACCCGCAGTGCTCCGAGGCCCCGAAGGAGCTCAAAACGGGTCCAGTCCTGGCTCGTCTTGTTCGGGGCACGGCCTCCAAAATGGCCACTCAAATGCCCCAGTTAAAAAAAAATAAAAAAAAATGACCACTGGGCAACTGAGGGCACCCTCCAAATGCGGCAGACCCGTACCCTCACACTACCGGTATTGCCCCGAATTCTGGGGTGGTTATGGTGGTTCTATATACCTGGTTTCACTGGAGTTCGCATCGGCAATCCGGTGCATGTGTCTAAACCTGAAAAGTGTAGCTGGCGGTTGGAAGGGAGCCAAGGAGGGGGTAATTATACCTAGACTCTGCTTCTGACCATTAAAAGATGGTTGGTAAAATTGCCCAAAATGAAGATTCGCGTCAAATGGGCCCTTTCTCTAGGGGTCAGAAGGAGACTCTAGGTACCTGGATTCATTGGGGTTAAAGTTGACCTGGTCGCCGCCGTTCCAAGCCAGCCAGACAATAACCACTCAATGATTTCGAATAATAAACCCCAGTTGATTTTATCAAACCAAAATGGGATATCTTCTTTTTTATTAACTGGGGGTTTATTAATCGGCTACCCAGTGAAACCGTTGGTATAGTTGCAAGAAAACACACAACATGTCTTTGCAGCCCCTACCAAAAATGAACAGAACCAAAAAGCAAAGCACATGCCCTCTCTCCCACTATACATGGCACCTGACAGACGGCCCCGTGGAAGAGAAACATGATCTTCCAGGTAGTCTTACAGCAAGAACCGTAAAATGAACAAACCCCAAAAAAACACCTAAAACCGTGCCAAGAACAGTGAAGTACTTCCTAACCCTCTCCCCGAACTCGATTTTCGTGACTTCTCTTGCCAAAGCGCCAGCCAGCGTCGGGCGAAGGGATCCTTCAGCCCGGCCCTAGGGCGAGCAAAACGTCCAGAGACCCACCTGGAACCCTGGGTGCGTTCAAAGAGGTACAGCGCATGGCACAATTCCCCAATAAGTTTAATCTAAACCCTGGACTACGCAAGCGGTCCCCTTTGACCCCATGCGATTTGTTGCCAAATGCATGTTCGCGCTTGGCTCACGTCCAGTGGGTCGCTGTATGTTCCCATCAGAGAGCTCAAGCGATGAGCTTTCAACCAACCCGACTTAGCACCCTTGGACCTTCCAAAAAGGTCTGTTGCACCCTCCCAAAATTAAAAGGAACACCCGAAACAAAATCCACATCACCAACAAAAATCATGGGACCCTCCATTGGAATAGGGCAAAACCACAAAGATCAACAGAAAGAATGGCATTTTCTGTGGCTGGCCATGGTTGTTTTTAGGAAGCCATGATCAGGGTGGTCTGTCATCCCTCTTTGGCTGTTGATGTTGTGGGCCCCATTCCTGCTCGTTGACTATGCTTCACCACCCTTGGAACGGTAGCAAACCACTTTGGTTTGTGCAGGCCTACTATGGACAGATCCAAGCAACCTAAAAAAACAAACAACTTGCCAACAACAGTGACCTATAAACATATTGCTTCATGAAGCTTGGTCGACAGCGGGCTCCAAAGATCCTAGCGCAGAAAGCAGGGTGCCCTATATTACATCTTTGAACATCACATTGCCAAAATACCCCTTACTTAAAAGTTGCCCATAAACCAACCCAAGGGGACAGTGACATATAAAATGGCTACGGGTCCCAAAATGAACCCACCATGGACCGCAGGTTAAATCGTCCATGTTTCCTTCCCAGGACAAAACCTATTTTGGGGGTGCCCCATGTTTGACAACCATATAGCAACTGGAGAATTGGTGCCAGCAAAATGAAGCCGTAACAAAACCCCAAAGATGACTGGAGTGAGCCATGGGGGTAGCGCCCCAGGCTCAACACGAAAGGAGCCCCACTCCGAATACCCACCATTTTTTAAGGCAAGGGGCTGTTATGGCTCTACAAAGGAACCTCCACAGTTGCTGGTGGACATGAATCCCAACCTAAACGATGTCAACCAAAGGTTCTTCAATTACAACTTACACCGACATGACATCTCTTCTTTGAGGATACCTTTTTTTGTGGGTTTTTACAGGGAAACCAAAAGGAACCCCTGTTGCGGCATATGTTTTGGGGGATTCCCCCCCTTTTAGGACACGCCCAGCTTGGCGCGTCCCAAAACGACTTCTCGATGGAAAAAACAAAAACCGCCTTGAGAGCGTCTTGGCGAAGGGGTCCTTGAGCTGAAGCGCCTCCTCGGTCATTCCACTTCTCACTACTTTGCTGGTGCTCATCAGGGCATGAGTTGGAATGAGCCCGAGAAACCCCATCTATAATTTCCTTGAAGGGAATCCCCAAAACCGGTTCATTCCCAAATTCCATAAAGAGCAACTTGTTGGATGGTGTTGACTTTTGCTGCTGCGATAGGTAGGGGATGACTGAATGAACCTGGGGATTCCCTTAAAGGAGACGATGGGGGATGGTTTATAGGGGTCATTCCCTCGTTCCCTGCTGAGCAACTTTGTCACTACGGGGTAGACTTAAACCCAGTGGTTCCCAAAACGAGACTCTGCTCCCCCTGCTAAAAGTCTAACTTGTAGTGATTTAATGGAAAACCCATTAGTTGGCAAAAAGTTGGCAAAGGAAAACCCCTCGGTTTAAGTCTACCTAGACTCTTCATGACCCTTTAAAAATGGTTGGTCATGACCCGAAAGAAAGGGGTCATGACCCAATTTTTGAAGGGTCATGGAGAGTCTGGGTAGACTTAAACCTGGTGGTTCATTTCCAAAGCGAGAAGCCAACTGGGGTTAAGCTCTAAACTCCCTACGTGGCATGTAAACGGATGGTCTGGGAGAAACCGCCCCAGTCAATTATGACAACGTTTGCTTGCAACCTCCTTCTCTGCTTTCTTATGTTTAAACCTGGTGCCAGCACAAAACGCGGAAGGAAAGGTGCCACTGAAGCGTCTCAAGTAGGTTACTGGCTTGTGCTCTCCGGCTGCACATGACCAACCTGCCTATGGAACCCCTGGTAGTTGGTAGGTTGGACGAGAGGTACTGAACCCAGGGTAGGTCCCATGCTGTTTGGGTTCCACACGAACCCAAACAGGGTGTCAACCAAAAGGAGACTCTTCTAAAACATAAAAGTTGTTGTGGCTTTCTTGGATGTTCAACGTAGATTGGAAGTTTGCAGTTCGTAGTTGTATGAATAGTAGCGGGGCACTTGTATGTTCAAAAAGCTACCGGCTTCACATTGTGGACCCCGGCAACCTTCGTACCCAGAGGCTCCTGGGGCTTTCAATGGAAGACCCGACCCCTCCATTAGACACCCCGGAGGTGTTTGGGACCCGGTCTCAAAACCTGGCTGTTAAATCGGGCCCCTTCAGCACATCGAATTGGAGCCTCTGGGTATAGAAAAAATACCGTACCCAGTGAACATCCCAATCCCCACCAAAATAGGTTCTAAAATGGGTGGTGGATTCACCTACCAACCAAAACGGGATCCCAAACCAGTTTTGGCAACCACGGCCATCTGCAAAGATTCACGGCCCCCCATTTGCTGAAGCCCCCTCCATTTGCTGAAGCCCCCCCAAAAAACGAAACAATTCCAGTAGTGGTAGATTAAAACCAACAGGGAAAAAACAACAAAACCTCTTCTTAACCAAATGGAAGTGGCTCGGAGCTCAAACCCCTCCGTGGATCGGTCCAGCGGGTTGGCGGCCGCCAGGAACTTGGGCAGAAAGGGCCCCGCCGTGAGCAGCACAGAGGGGTCCAAGCGAAGCGCAGGTACCGGCAGCGCCTGGAGAAAGCCGGTATAACTGCCCCAGAATTAGCTCCACTTTGTGATGTCAACTGCTAATTGGCCTCAGAAAAGCAGTCCACACTCCCCAGAATTAGCTCCCTTTTGGTCTTTTGCCGCCCTGTTTGTCTTTTCCTAGACTCTCCTTCTGACCCTTAAAAATTAAATGGTTGCTCATTGCCCAAAATAAAGGGGTCAAATGGGCCCATTTTTAAACGGTCTTGGAGACTCTAGGTTCTTGCTTTGCGTGGTCCCCTTTGTTTTCCACTCACCAAGCAAGAGTATAGCTTTTTGCTGGGGCCGCTCCACTTTGTGATGTCGATGTTGTTGCTTTTTGAGGCCCGAATTCCAGCCAAGAACGGGCTCGCTGTTTTTCAAGTGGAATCCCTACAGCACGGGTGGTCAAAGGGGTGCGGGGGGGAGGTTCCGTAAGGTTCCCGAATTAAGCCTAAGGAATGGGTCATATGCAGGCTTCGTCCAATCAAAACCCTGGCAAGTTGACAGAAACCTGTCAGGCTTCCCTTCCTCACCCCACTTCAAATGAGTGGATAGGCAACCCCCAGAGGCTCGTGGGGCTTTCAAGGGAAGACCTGACCCTCGATTAGACACCCTGGAGGTGTTTGGGGGTCTCAAAACCTGGCTGTTTGAGGGCCCTAAATACAATGGGAGCCTCTGGGCCAACCAATTCTGAACTTTCGGGCCACTCAAACGGACTTCAAGTTAAAAGTCCAGGAACTGATCCTGCTAAAAGTTGAACTTGTGGTCTAAATCCGGAAACCCAACCACTAAACCGACTACAAACCTTAGCAAACCCAAGTTGAACCGGATGGCAACCACCGAGAAGTACAACGACCAGGAACTGGGACCTTATCTTACCTAGGTCCTTGTGTAGAGACGTTAGAATAAGGGTACCAACTTTTTTCTGTAGTCTATTTCAGTAGGGGAACCCTCCCAACCAAAAAGGGGGTTACAAAGGGGCACCTAGCTGCGGGACCTACTGTGGATGGACGAAATCCTGCACCACGTTGAAGCCATGGGAAACCATTGTTTGTTGTTATTTACAGGGGAATCGAATCATTCCAGGGTTTTCTTAGGTGGTGCAGGATTTCGTCCATCCACAGTAGTTGCTGGCAACTGGCAGCCAACCTTCAGCCTTCTGCATCCCGCGATCGATCGATCGATCACGAAAAGGAGAATCCGATCCCGCCTCCACCAGTGCGGCCAAGGGCTTCATTGCCTGCCTCGGGCAAAAGGCGGCTCGGAATGGTCAACAAATGGCTGCGGGTCAAAGCCCAGGAAACCCCTGGTGAACATCGAAAGCTTGCAAATGGATGTTCATCCACCCCAAATTGGAGTTATAGGTTATGCCCCATGGCCAAAACATGATGGTAAACAATTCTTGGTTGCTTTCTGCTCCGAGCAAAAAGTGACTAACTTTTAGTGGTTTAATGGAAAACCCATTAGCTGGCAAAAAGTTAGTCCTAACATTCCTTGGCAAAATGCACCAAAGAACAAAGCCCCACAACTTGGAGTCTCCATGATTCAAAATGGGTTGCCATGAGCCGAATCTTTCTTTTGGATACAGTCGCCATGTTTAAAGTGTCAGAAGGAGACTCCAAGTAACCAAACTCATCTCAACATTGGTTGCTCCCGCGTCGGGGTTCTTCCCCTTTTAAAGTCCCCCTCTTGGGGTTCCTATGAACTACCCAGTTCTTCCAGTTGCTACAAGGTATCCTTCGGTATGTTTACCTCTAGGTTCTAGCACGGATGGTTTCCCCTACAAAGACTTTGTTGAGGTACTTTGACCCCTTTTAACCCTCCAACGGTCCATGGTCGCCATTCTCAAAGGGCAAGTAGCCATGGGAAACAATGGGCATCCTTTCTTGGTTGGTTGTGCTTGAAGAAAAACAACCAAAAGGAAAAAAGGGCGGAATCCACTGGGCCACTAGGTCACTCAGCCCCAAACTCGGTGCCGCTTGACACCTCCGCCAGGCTGCAGCAGCGCTTCCCACTCCTTCACCGCAGCTTCGCCGGACACCTCCGCCAGCACCTCCCGCCGAGGCGGCTTTTTGCTCCGCGACGCGCGGGCGGGCGCGCGCGCGAATGGGGCGCCCAAGTCGCCCCTTTGGGGTGGGGGGGGGGCTCGGTGCGAATAAGAAAATCGCCGAGGGTCTGAAAAAAATGCGCATCACCTTTTGCGGGCCTTTGTTGTTTTCTTTCGGGGTAAACAAATTCTGGGCCTTTTAGGTCGGCAGGTCCGGGCAGTTCGGGAGTAAGGAAAAGGCACATCCTGTTCTTTGTGTGGGGGGGAGGGGGCTTGTGTCATGTAGAGACAAAACCTGGTTGCTAGGGGGAACGTCTCTTCCAGGGATATTGCTTTCCCAAACAACGTCAACTCGGTTGCTTGCTTCTCCCCTGCCAAAAGTGACCAACGTTCAGTGGTTTAATGCGGAAAGCTCATTAGCTGGCAATATGGCCATGGGTCAAAATCCCGTACCCCCAGTGAACATCCCAATCTCCGCTAAAATAGGTTCTAAAATGGGTGGTGCATTCACCTACCCCAAAATGGGTACCATTGGTTTTGACCCACAGCCATATGTTAAAGTCCTAACATCCCTTGTCAAAATGCACCAAAGAAACAAAGGAGCCACGGGGGAAAGGGCACTTGGATGGTTTGGGTCGCAACGGGGGTCTTTTGGAGTGTGTGCGGGGGGAGCTTTGGGTTGAATCACGGACGCCAGGAGCTCATTGATCATTTTTTCTCGAGGGTGCCCCATGCAGTTTTCAAGCAAGCCAAAAGGAAAACCGATGCCAGTTTGGTCTGCTAAAAGGCACGCTCATATGGGTTTCCAGCATTCTAGCCGGGCCGGCAAATGGGAAGCTTCGGAAGAGAATGGGAATGTGAAGAGAATGGGGGGTCGACCCGTAGCATACAATACATACATCGATAAATAGCTTAGATTTATCTGTTTCATACATCAGTTTCAATCATACTTCCGCATATATATATATATGTAGACGCGTATATATGGCTGTGGCTCAAAAAAACGGTACCCAAAATGGCACCCTGGTAAGTGCAAAATGGACCAAAACCTGCGTAACCCCCCTGATTAATTTTGAGCCACACCCATATATATATATATATGCATACATCTATTAATATATATATATGTATGTACTATACATGTGCTAGCGTCATTTTAAGGGAAACCCCAATGAAAGCTCCAACGAGGCCACTGCCAATGGAACTAAGTCTTCCAAAGGGATCCTGGGAGATTCCCCCTCAACTCGACAGACTTAGGTCAAACTAGGAAATGAAGGAAACTCACTTCCTGTGTAGTTTGGCCGAAAATAGTCCAAACTGTATATTTACCAGTAACATGGTATTTCAAAAAAGTTAAAATAATTAAGTCCCGGAACTCAAGAATCCATAATCTCTTTTGCGGGTTGAACTTTGTTGCGGCTTCAAACGGTCAGTTTTCTGGTAGTGTTATGAGTGTGTCTCCATTTAGGGGGGAAAGGAACAAATCCGCTTGCTTTTCTCCCGTCACAAAAGGACGGGTGGGTTGTTACAACCAAGAGGGCCTTGGTTAAAACCAACTTAGCAAGCAGGTTATAACCATGGTTGCGAGGGGACCAACCCCAGCTACCCAAGTTATAACCATGGTTATATAACCTACTTACCTCAGGTTAGCTGCACATCCAAGCAAGGAACGATCCCACTGATTTTGTAACCAGCTCGGACCCTCCGGGCCGGGGCCGTGGGCCTCTTTGCCAAAGCCACGCGTGTGGGTGAAGTGCCCCTCGGGCAAGCACAGGCCGAAGGACTCATAGCGGTGGCACAGCACCTGACTTGAGAGCTCCCGAACATACTGTGGATGGTTTCGAAATCCAGAAATCGCACCAACGTTCAGAAGGCCTGGAAGGATTCGATTCCCCTGTAAATACCAACAAACAATGGTTTCCTATGGCTTCATAGTGGTGCAGGATTTCGTCCATCCACAGTAGGTGTCCTTTTAGGTTGGAAATAGATGGGTTTCCCTGGTAGATGAGAAAAAGTAAACCAGGGCCATGTATATTTCTAGCAAAACAACCCTCAGCTGTTCAGTGACCCTGGAAAAAAGGGGTTCCATCCATTTTTAGTGGGGTAGCCACCAAAAAAAGGGGGAAACATAATTGGCGCCACTGAACAACTGAGGATTAAACCACCAAAACTAAACCAGGAATCGCCATCGATTTTTCTAGCAAAACTAGGTCTTCCAGTAGAGAGGTTAGAATAAGGGTAGATGTTTTTCTCTACCTAGAAAACAACCATTCGTTGGCCATCTATGTTTCTATAGCAAAACCACCAAAAAAGGACACCTATGCTCCCGATTTATGTTTTTGCGCTGAGTCGGTCTCCTTCTCAGGCCTGGGTTTTCAGGGAACACCTATGACAAAACCAGCCGTTGTTGAGGGTTCAAACATATGGCCATGGGTCAAACACCCAAAACTCGGCTAGCCTCAGTGAACATCCGATTCAATCCAACCACTAAAATAGGTCCTAAAATGAGTGGTGAATTCACCCGCCCCAAAATGGGATCCCAAAACAGTCTTGACAACCACAGCCATCTGCAAAGATTCATGGCCCATTTGCTGAAGTCCCATGGCCCTCCAGAAAAATGTTGAGACCAAAAATGCCCCGTCGCATTTGAATCCTTCCAACATGGCGCCTGGGTACCTGAAAGATCTGGTTCCTTGGGGCCGGGTCGTCAGATGCACCCAGAGCTCGCTAAAACAAAAGCAACGGGCGTGGCTCAAAATCAAAAACAGGGGGGGCAAACCGCGGGTTGTTGGTACCCATGTTTCCACTTACCAGGGCAAGCCATTTTGGGTACCGGATTTTGGAGCCACAGCCAAACCGACCTGGTTGAAGGAGCTGAAAGACATGGCACCATGGAAGAACAGCCGTGGCGGCTAAAGCCCCAGGAAATTTTCGAGTTGTCGGGTGACTGATAAGCCCGACAGGCTAGATAGAACACACGAAAAAATCACTGGGTTGGTTTACCCCAAGGTTCAGACATTACAGAAGGACCCTGACCACTAGAAAAATCCAAGGCCGTAATGATGAGAAGAGGTGCAAAACACGAACATCGGAATAGCGTGGTTCCAAATCCCTTTTGGTTGCCAGGCCGACTTTCCACCGAGGGTACCAAAACACTCAGCTGCTGTTGGTGTTGCTGCATAGGTCAGACTTGTCAAACTGGATGTCAAATCGGCCTGGACAAATGTTGAGTAAAGCCCGTTGAACCCCTTTTTTGATTCCGCCACGCTCATTGTAAAGGGCAAGAGGGGGTCCGTTTTCCAAAGGAGATGCGCGAATCTCAACCCTCACTTCCTGAATGGAAGGGGCCAAAACACAGAGTTGATTGACACACAACGTGAGTGCCAGGATGAGGCAGTATTTGATCTGGTAAGTTGCTAAACAAGCGGTGAAGAGGGCTGTTCAAGCTATCAAAACTGGTCCAACCCCAAGCAGCTTCGAGTCCAGGAACTCAGGAAGCGAGAAAAGCTCCACGTCCATCTAGAGAGCCACTAGGTCCTCCAAAAGAATAAGTTGGTACGTCTATTTTAGTAGGGGAACCCCCCCAAACAAGACTCTAAAAGAGCACCTAGCTGGGGGACCTAAGTAAGGAACCAAACCAGGACCGAAGGGCCATGCGGCCAATCCCGTACCACGAACTCGGCCTTCCCTAACCAATCTTCTCAGCCGGAGGGCCCTTACAAACCTCAAGTTGCCAACCGATTGCATTCTCACCTGAGTCGAATCAAAACCCAGTACTAAAATGGTCGACCCAGAACCGCGTAAAGAATTATGAAGGCGGCCGCAGCTATTTATGGTTGGGATTGTCCCTTACTTGCCTTCATCTAGCCGGGTTTTGATTGTGGCTCACCTGCATCCTCACACGGCAAAACACATACTGTACTTAAAGGGAAAAATGCCATTTAACAGAACCAGGGGTGCAAAACGTCTGAGCCAGAAAAAACAATACCCATCCTCTGCTGGTTTCCAGTTCAATTCAAATTGATGGGCTATCTGGGACATCCATACCCATCACCTGTTGGTTTGCTTGCAATCGGAAGGGGGATATGTGACCCATCCATGTGGTTCCCTGTTGGTTTTCGCGCAAAATTGCAAAAATAACGGGCTATATCACCCATCCATACACATCCCCTGTTGCTTCGTTGCTGAGAAGAAAAAAATATCAAACAACATGGTGGTCCTGTTGGTATACATCCATACCCATACCTTGTTGGTTTCCCTATTGCAATTTCAATTCGATGGGCTTGAAATAGCCACAGTCAAGTTACGTGTTCTCCCAAAGCTTGGTTGACGTTGGAAGGGGAGCAAAACAACATATTTTAGCGGTTAAGTGGGGATTTCCCACTAAACCACAATATGCGAAAAGGTAAAATGTTTCCCAACAACAACCATGCAAGGGACATAGGAAACATAGTGACTGCCATGGCTTTTGTGGGGAAATTGAGTGACCTCTACTGTCCCTCCCAAATGCACTATACACTGCCATGGCTTTTGTGGGCCCAGACTTAGCCGCCTTGCAACAGATTAACTTTTTGCTAGTATGGGAAAACGCTGGAAAACAAAACAAAGGCAAACAGCAAGAGGGACAATAATGGACAGCCAAACTCACTTCCTGAGTTCCTGGATTTTTTGGGAAGGCCATCTTGTGGTAATTAAAGAAACAAGCAGGACTCCTTTTGGGCCATCCACTCGGAAAGTGAACTAGCATAAATCTAGGGGTACCCGCCCCATTCAGTCCAGGGATCCTTCTTTCTAATAACCTATAAGACACCCGAGGAAAACGGCCGGTTTTGAAAAGAACGATGGTTAAAAAGAATGGGGAATAAAACACTAGAGTAAACAAGCAAATTCACCAGAGGTGTCCCTTCCCCTTCCAAGCCTCAGTCTCCAGGAGGTCCAAAACCGCCTGTCAGAGAAACCCGAGACTCATGGCCTCTTGCTCATAGGTGGCCTTTTGGAAAAATAGATGGCCCTGGTAAATGGAATACAAACCCATCCAAACAAGTGCCATCTATGTTCAGCCAAATTAACCTAAAAAGGACACCTATGCTCTTGCTCTTTTTTGCTCATAGGTGAAGGGCAACCCACTCCAGGATAAGTTCCAGGGATTGATCCCCAAACCAGCTGATTTCCTCTCGATTGGCGCTGGTCTTTTTGGATTCAGGACTACTTCAGTGACTGGACATGGAGACCGTATTGGTGCCAAGTATACTTCCTGAGACAACTTGGCCGGAATTAGGACCCCAGCAAAACACTGTGTTTGCCTTAGTGGAAAACAAAGGGGACGGACCCCCCCAAAAAAGAAACAACAAACAAATCGGGAGCAAATTGAGGGGAAGGACAGTGGCCCCAAACAACGTCCCCCCAAACAAGTTGTTGTTGGCTTCCCGCAGAAGTCCGCCTCAACGGTCAGAGAGTGACGAATATCCTTGTTGGAAACCTGGGCTGCCCCCAGATCCTCCGCTAAAAGTTGAACTTTTAGTGGGTTAAAGGGAAACTACCACTAAACACTAAAAGGCTAAAAAGCTAAGGAACCGGATGGCTGGGAGCCACCAAGAAACCCGTGTCCTTCCAAAGTTTATGGACTTCCCCGCCAGGAATCCTCCCAATTCGCCAGGAATGGTCGGCCTCAGGTTTGGGAAAAAACACATGAGATCGCATTGAGGTCTCGGTAAGATCTCAGTTGGCACAACCAAACTTGACACAACCATGAACAAGTCAAAAAAATATTCTAGGGGTAACTTCCCCATTCTTTCCAGGGATCCTTCTTTTTCAGGAAACCATCCACAATCCAGGGAAATGGCTGGTTGTTGAAAAGAACGATGGTTGGAAAGAATGGGGAATCAACCACGAGAATTACTGTTTAACCACAAAGGATACATCCAAAGAAACAACCTCCACCACGAAATCCTTTAAGTCAGCTGGTTAAAATTGCTTTCGTAGCTTTGACGGACTCTGTGAAACGGGTGCCCTGTGCCAAACAAACAAGGAGCAACGCTTCTGTTGGATTCCGTTTGGACTATATAACCCCAAAAAGGATAGCAACTCAACAAGACGAGCCACCCCTGAAAGGCTGGCTGTGGTTGATGCTTGGTTTACCTGGCCCCATGAATGTACCAAAATCACGCCAAAAACACATCAAACCGTCAAAACGAGCTGTCCAAACTGATCCCCTGCTAAAAGTTCATAACTCACTTTTAGCGGGTTAAATGGAAACCCAACCACTAAACCCAAAAATAGCTTTGGAACCGGCTGGGGTTCCCGCCGAGTAATGACCCACCCTAAACGCCCCGAGGACCTCATTCTTTGCGGCCGCAGAGCGGGTCAAAGGCAACTCATATTTAGGGTCCAGAGTCCATAGGGCCAACCCCCACTAAACCAACCAAACATAAATCTAAACACCTCAGAAGATGGCTGGGGGTTCCCACCAAGTACTGCCCCCCCAAAAAAAAACTCCGCCCCAAGGTTCAACGCACAAATTTGGCCTCCTGCGCGTCCCCCCAAACAAAGTCCGCCCCAAGGTTCAACGCACATTTTTCGGCGTCTGCGCGTCACCTCGCGCTTCGCAGCGCCGCGCCGCGCGTGGCGCGTGGCGCGACTGGCGCCTTCAGGGGGTTGATGCGGGCGGTCTCGGGCGCCGAGAGCCCGCTGAAGAAGGAGGGCCCCGTGTCGAAGCGGAAGGTTCCCAGCTTGGGCACCCGGCCTCGGGCAAGCAGCCGGGGGGGGGGGGGGGGGGGGGGGGGGGGGGGGGGGGGGGGAGGTGGGGGGGTGGGGGTGGCGGGTGAGGTGGGGGGGTGAGGTGGGGGGATGTGGTTTTTATGGGGGCTTTTAAGGGGGTGTACTCAGGAGAAGGTGGGAGCGGCCTCTGGGTACTGAGAGGGTGTGGGGTGTGTGGGCGACTTACAACCGTGGTTGCTGGACACTTGGATCAGCTTGGACCATCGAAAAACCCACCAAGTCAAGTAGGGCAGCAACCCCAGCTACTCAGGTGTACATGGGTCTTAGACTTCCCCCGCAAAAATAAGTAAGACCCCCCGCCCTGGAAGGTTTCTAGACACCCTTATATTTCCCCCAAGGCAAGATGCAAACCCTTATATTGGCCCTAAGTGGTCACCTCCATCTGTCCATCCCTTCATGAATTTCTATGGATGGGTGTGTCTGTTCCTTTGGAAGGATCCCCCTCAAACAGGCCAAGCGGCTCTTCTTTGGGGGTGCCACCCAAACATGGGGCTCACAAAACATGGACATGACAGTTGTGTCTCCGCTCCCATCCCCCAACAAACCAAAAACAACATGGGTCTGTCTTTTTGTTGAGGCTCGGTACCTTTATCGAGGTTGGCCTTTTTCTGCAAACCAATTGGAAAACCCTCTTTGGTGTGGATCAAAATTAAACCGCTGGGGTTACGCAGGCTTTTGTCTACCTTTCCATTTGCCAGGCTAGGCCCCTACTGTGGATGGTTGCAAAATCCATTTCGCACCACTTTGAAACCATGGGAAGCCATTGTTGGTATTTGCAGGGCAAGCATTCTTCCAGGGTTTCTTTAGTGGTGCGATTTCTGGATTTCGCAACCGTCCACAATAGAACCCTAGCCTGGCAAATGGAAAGGTAAGCCTGCGAAACACCAGCTGCATCTTGATCCACACCTAAAGGTGGGTCCTATTTTTGAGCCGCACCCTTTCAGGGCTGCTACTCTGAGACCATCCACAAAAAGCCGGGGACAGCCCGCCCCGGCTTTAGCCCAAGGAGCGCTTGAAGCCGTGCGCGGCGCCGCCGGCGGTGTCGTGAGCCTCGACACAAAGCACCTTCTTGCCGTACCTGGCCGAGGACGGTGGGGTGGGGTGGGGTGGGGTGGGGTGTGGGTGTGGGTGTGGGTGTGGGGTGCAGTGGGTGAGGGGGAGGGGTTGACTTTTTGTTGACCATAAACCACTCACTGAGATTGGCCGAAACAAAACGTCTAAGCTTGTTGTTTGCCGCCTTAAACTGGTCCAAACCCAAAAAAGAAATAAAGTCCGGAAACTCAGGAAGTGAGACAGCCCTTTTGTTCGCTGGACCAACGAGTGGCTTCCCCAAACCCCCGAAGGAGTCGTCCAAACTGCGAAACCCGACTTCCACGATTTTGGAAACCAGGCGAAATGGAGTTGTCAAACAAGAGGCGGGATCAAAAACGAGGGCACCGCTTGCTCACACCCATGGTTCCAGGGCTACCTTCCCCATTCTTTCCAGGCATCCTTCTTTCTGGAAAGTCTCCGAACACCTAGGGCGGTTTTGGAAAAGAACGATGGTTAAAACAGACGGGGCATCAACTTCTATGGTTACATCTGCCGAACTGTTCACGAAAGCTGGCCTGGCGGCTTCCCTTTGATGCCGCTTTGCTTCAATTCAAATGTCGCAAATTTCCGGTTGGTGGTATCAACTGCTAAAAGAGCGAGGACCAAACGGGGTAAACACATGTGTTAAGTTAACAGACCGAGAGTCTGCTTCTCACCCGTAAAACCTTCAACGACTCACTGCGGCATGTGGTACCTTTGGATGGAGAAACGAATCAGCGACAGGACAAGTTGAACAATTTATGTCTCCTTCGAACTACCTAGAGTCTCCATGACCCGTAAAAAAAGGGCGTCATTACCCAAAATTAAGGGGGCATGACCCCTTTTCTAGGGGTCATGGAGACTCTAGGTAGACTTGACTGGGCGGGCCTCAAAACAAAACTCCTCCCTCATCCCCGCTCGAGTCCAAAACGATACGCCGGTTACAAGCCCTCCTTACCCGCTGAACGGCAACCGTCGGACTTACGGCTGGGTCGCGCTGGAGCTCACTGAAGCCATGTCAGATGAAGTTGTCTAAAGGGACCTCAAACAAAAACTGCCCGCCCTAAGGGTCATGACCCCCATGCACACCGGGGCCCGGACCCGAACCAATGCAGAACCCCGACCAATTCCTCAGCCCAATGGAAAACAACCCAGATTTCATTCCCCAAAAACCATCCATCGACCCTGAAAACGGATAAACTTGTGTAGTCCCGCAAGGCGCATTGACCATGCAATCTCAACAAATCGGCCCAGACAAGCTCCACCCTTCTGCTGCTCCAAAAGCTCGGTCCTACCCATTTTGATCCAGCGCTCCTTCACGCTGCAATCTGCGAATTTGGAATGCGCTTACGCCTGACAGCCGTTCAAAATGAAAACAACCACACCTAGCCTTGCAAGCAAGGTTTGGTAAGCCATAGAGGTCAGCAATTGCAACGTCAATGAGCAGCAACCAAGACAAAAAGGGCAGCCATGTGGACCCGGAAAGAAACAACATTGCACTGCTGCTTGTTTTCTTGGCTTCCGCAGGCGAGGTATAGTCACAAAAGTGTCGCGCCTAGAGTCTCCTTTCTGACCCCTCGAAAAACAGGCCCATTTGACCCCAAGATTTTGGGCCATGTGGCGCTCGGCGACGGGGTGCCTTCCTTGAGTCATTGAGGCGGGACCCCCATATGAGGCATGGTTTGAGTCAACCGGAGCAGTCCGCGCATCACCTCTTGGCAGCGAAGCAGTGCTTGCACGTCGCCTCAGACACATGGTACTTGGCCAGGTTCCTTGGTTGACGGAGGGGCTTTGGGGAGCAAAATGAGCAAACAATCCCGAACATCTTAGCAGTTAAGTGGAGTTGGATCTCAACCACTAAAAACCACAATAAGCAAAAATGTGAACAAATATCAAATTGTTAAGTGGTTGGATTTCAACCACTAAACCGTAAGAAATGCAAACATGTAAAGTGTTTCCCAACAACAACCATGGACAAGGTGGCTTCCCAGCAAAAGACACAGGGTTTCCCACCAAACCGCAAGGGGTTGCCCGTGAAGGACGGGGCAGCCCACAAAAAAGAAAAAAGAAAACAGAGGGGACACAGAAAGGCTTACTGGTTCGCGGATGGTTCTGCTTGAAAATTCGCAGCGCCTCCTCATAGACTGGCATGTCGTAAGGATCCGTGATGGTGTCTGAGTCCTCGTAGGGCGCCGTGGCAGTTTTTGCCGGGCGGTTGGGGCGCATGTCCTCGAAGTCACTGCTCAGGCACTCCCCGCCGAAGATGCGGTGGAACAAGCACACGGAGAGGTCCCACTCCTGCAGGTGTGTCTTGTATCGGGTTGCATGGGGTCTGCTTTGAAACATGACTGCACTTTGCAGAAACCGTGTAAAAGGGATGCAAGGTTGGGGGGCGCAAACTCTCTAGGTCCTCCAGAGGGGTTAGAACAAGGGTACCCCCTTTCTGTAGTCTACTTTAGGGGAACCCTCCCCCAAAAAAAGACGGAGGGGCACCAATGGCTGGGGGGCCTAGCTCCTAATTTGCAAGGCAAATTGAACGAGAAGGTACGCCCCTGCCATTTGACTCGATCCCTCTGCGCGGCCATGCAGCTGCCAGCAGCTATCAAAGCAACCAATGACGATCGCCAAACAGACCAGCTACGGGTTGCTTGGTTGACGTTGGAAGGGGAGCAACAATTATCAGATTTTAGCAGTTAAGTGGGGATTTCCCACTAAACCACAATAAGCAAAATTGTCAAATGCTTCCCAACAACAAGCACGGTTGCTTTGACAACCGCCAATGCTGAAGACAAAACAAAAAAAAGAGGCCAAACTGCGCAAGCAATGCCAGAGCCGGCGCGCATTGCTTAGAGTAGCAAGCAGCCGCCGTGCAGGCAAAGCTTACATGCAGCGCTGCGCAAGCAGACCGCCAGGAATGCCTACCCCAAATGGCTGTGGGAGAGAGCAACCTCTTCTAGATCCTCCAGTAGAGGTTAGAATAAGGGTACCCTTTCTTCTGTAGTCTATTTTAGTAGGGGAACCCTCCCAACCAAAAAAAAGGTAAAAGGGCACCTAGTTGGGGGACCTGGTCTTTGCCGAAGCTCATGTCCGAAGCATCAAATCTCAATCGGAGCCGCACAGGCATCCTGATTTCGCTCGGAAGTTCAATCCAAGATCCGAACAACGTGTGAAACACAACCTGAGTCACAATCGAAGCCCGGTATTAGAATGGTTGACCCAAAACCATGTAAGGAAATACAAAGGCTGCCGCAGCTGTTTCTGGCTGGGAGTGTCCCTTACTAACCTTCATCTACCCGATTCGGTTTTGATTGTGGCTCACCTGGACGCGACATCGCCCCGACTTCCAAACAAAATCGAGCCCAGCGGAATGCACACGTTGCTTTGTTCTTCAAACTCGGGATGCCCAAAATCACTCGCTTTCTGCTCCCCTGCTAAAAGAGACTAACTTTGAGTGGTTGAATACGGTTCGTTGGCCAAAAGTTAAAGTCCTGACATCCCTTGGCAAAATGCACCACCCAGAGGCTCCTGAGGCTTTTAGTGGAAGACCCGACCCCGTCATTAGAGCTTGGGACCCGGTCTCAAAACCTGGCTGTTTGAGGGCCCTAAATACATCGGGAGCCTCTGGGTTAAACCTGGAGTCTCCATGACTCTTAAAAAATGTGGTCATTACCCAAAATAATGGGGTCAGGGCCCATTTTTAAAAGGGTCATGGAGACTCCAGGAAGTCCTAACAACCTTTGGCAAAATGCACCAAAGACTTGGCTTGGTTGACGTTGGAAGGGGAGCAAAACAATAAATTTTGGCAGCTAAGTAGGGATTTCCCACTCAACCACAATCAGCAAAAATGCATAATGTTTCCCAACAACAACCATGACAGGGTGTTTTTTTCCGATGCACCCTGGCTTGTTCTTCAAACTCGGGATGCCCAAAATCAATCCGGTCCTCGGTGATGCCGATGAACGCAAAGCCTTGGAGCCGTGACACGGCCAGCTTCGACTCCTCCTCCGTGACCGGCGCATTCGCCTGGAGAAACCGACGCATCTGGTTGCCAGAGCCCCGCAACCAGCCCCCGGGAAAACGGGATGACCCCTGAAATCTGTGGTGCAACTGCGGATGGTTGCCAAATCCAGAAATCGCACCGTCCCGAAACCCTGGAAGGATTCGATGCTTCTGTACCAACGGTGGGTTCCTCTGGTTTCAAAGTGGTGCGAACGGATTTCTTGTCCATCAGCAGAAGGACCAACCATTTTTTTAAGGGTCATGTAGGTATGGCCCTCAAGCAGCCGTTGGTCTTGAGACCGGGCCGGGTGTCGTTTTGGAGGGGTCGGGTCTTCCATTGAAAGCCTCAGGAGCCTCTGGGCGAGATATTTGTTCGGCAGGTTCACGAAAACGAAGCACGAAGAGCAAGCTCTGTCTTCGGCCTTCAGATATCGAGGATGTGTGTTTTTGAAGCTTCTACTGCTTATGCAGCCAATCCCAGGGTGCAAAAGCAATGAGATCCGCTGTCAAACGAATCCGTGCGCGCGAGGAACCACCGCGTCGGGCGCGAGCTGCTCTCAGACACAAAGCGAAGACTACAATAGCTGTTGCGGAGGGCCTGTCCCCAAGTCTGTTTTTTGCACGCTGTCCACCGAAAGAACACACGGCTCAATGCGTCAGCTGTGGATGGGCAAAATCCATTTCGCACCGGTTTGACATCTACCCACGCCTGCCCACCCACGCCCGCCCACCCACGCCCGCCCACCCACGTCCGCCCACGCCTGCCATGGTTGAAACCATTGTTTGTTGGTGTTTCCAGGGGAACCCATCATTTCAGGGTTTCTGAACGGTGGTGCGAAAGGGATTTCGCTCATTCACTGCGTCACACGAGGTTTTTCCATGTTGTGCGAGCAGCATGCATATCATTCGGCGCACGGCACTACTGAGAAAACATTTTCCCGAAAGCTTGGCTTTGCCTCTTTTTTCTAAAAATAACAATACGTTAAGCGACGTCTAAGTCCAAATCCC